ATGTTTTGAATTGATTTTCATTTTAGAGACCCAAATTAGGATTGTATTGTTTGTTTGCAATTGGTTGTATTGCTTATATTGATTGATTGAATTTTCACGATTAGGATGGTTAGAATTAGTGGATAGACCTCGGAAACTCGTGTGACACATTAGACACATCGTATCGTTTTAAGTACCGAAAGGGCGTTAGCGATCTCGATTCGAGATCATTAGCGTAACCAAGTCCCCGTATTCAGAATCTCTGGTTCGCAGAATCGTGGTATTTCTTCCGTACCTCGATTAGGTTTCTAGTCAACCTACCAATAATGACTAATGGCAACTCTAAATCAAAAACCTAGATTGAATAGAATAATAAGAAAATTACAACCCGCTATCACGCGAGGTATGGTCTGGGAGAGACCCCCCATTTGTCTAGTGATGGGATGTCTGTGGGACGTCTAGGCGAAATATCCGCATCGGACCTTAGTAGCCCGTTCAGGGATAGTTTCCCCATTCGTGACAAATGGAAGTACCTCCTTAGCGTGCCAAAGGCGCAGCGCGACATGAAGTCATAGAAATAATCGAGCAACCGATCATGTTTATTGGAGTTTCAGAGTTTATAAAAATTCAACGTGTAGATAAATGGGGATGAGCACGAGGCTGGGATCATGGTCTTCATCCCCTGCTTGCCTCACCATCGCCCTATGCGGGGCGAGGATGCCTCCTCCGAGCGATTGTTGGCACTTTTTATTAAAAGTTTGCGATTATGTACTAAATGGAAATTGGAGTTTTCGGATATTTCGGGGAATTATACCAGAAGATATAATCTTTCGCATTAGATCTGTCGAACCTCCTTCAACCTGTGATGGGGACGATACTCTTTTGTGGGAGGGTAATGAAAGCGGGTCATTCTCCGTTAAGTCAACGTGCGAGGTAATCAATGGGGTAGGCAATCAAGAATATGACAGTATATGGTCCACAATTTGAGAGTGAAAGGGACCTCAACGTATTAGAACTTTCCTCTAGCTAGCCGCTCATAAGTGACTGTTGACTAATGAATTGAAGACGTCTCGCAACTTGGGAGGAAATCCGTATTGCTTGAGATGTGAGTCCCATGTGGAAACAACTTTACTTGTTCTAAGGGATTGTCCAATTATCCGTAGGATATGGCTTGAGTTTGTCCCACAACAATATTTGGGAGAATTAATGAATCTGTCGCAATGGTTGAATTCAAATCTCGCTGGTAAGGAGTGATCGAATTTTCATCATGATCAAAACATAATTTTTGGAGTAGGTGTGTGGCTTTTTGGGCAATGAAGAAACAAGTCACTTTTCTAGGACAACTTTGTTTTCCCTTCGAATTCGATACGAGTAATTTGGTCACACACAGAGGAAATCATTAAAGCTTCGTCTATGAATAACTCGACGTTAAATGGATCGTGCACTTCTCCAATTTTGGTTAGACGGGATCCTCCACCTTCCGAGTGGATTAAACTTATCATGATGGGGCCTCAAAAGGCAACCCAGGACTTGCTGGTGCCGGGGTTTATTTAGAAATGAATGGAGTGACTGGCTTGGTGGTTTTGCTGCATTTGTAGGAATATATTTGTCGACACAAGCAGAACTTTGGACTTTGTGGTTAGGACTCAACTTTGCCAAATAACTTGGTTTTCATAAGATCATCATTGAGATTAACTCTAAAGTCATCACCGATCTTGTTAGTCCAGAACTTATGATCGATAATGCTGGCCCTACTTTGCTTAAAGATATCAAAAGACTGATGTGCTCTCACTTTGAGTTTAAAGTGCAATATAACTTTCGTGAAGGAAATCGCTCTGCTGACTGGTTTGCTAATCTTGGAATTGATAAGCACTTGGATACTAGTTTCTTTTCATTACCTCCTACAGAATTACTTCATGTTTTACTAGATGATAAAATAGGGACAGTGGATTTACGATGTTCAATTTTTATATTCGGTTTTAACCCTTTTTAATACAAAAAAAAGGGCCTCGTTTTTATAATACTTTGTTGTATAATAAAAATGATCTTATGGGTAGGTACTAAAAAAGAAAGGTTTCCAAGTTGATTTTATAGAATAAAGAAGCTCCAAACTTCACAAAATAGTAAATGTGAGACAATTCAGAATATCGAAAGATGGAAAAGAATTGCCTCACATTTCTTATATAGAGAGTTTTACATACCTTGTATAAAAGCACGGCTCCCAGGAGATGGAAATTACCCAAAACGTTTAATACCTATTACACATGTGCCAATTCAGTCCTAAACTTTTTAATTTGGCCAATTTAGTTTTAAACCTTTTGACGATTTGTCAATGTAATCCTTTTGGCCAATTTTGCTGGAAGTTGCTGACGTGGATGCTAGTTTTCTTGCATGCCACGGCCGGTACTAATAGGGATAATTTTTATAATTTTTATAATTTGTCAATGTAATTTTTTTTTCTCTTCTTTCTTTTTTTTCCTTTTTTTTTCTTCTAAGCCTGGCGAGGATCGTTGGCCACTGGATGAAGGCCACGGGGCCCTCGCCCGATGGCCGTCTAGGCAAGGGTCGCGACCCTTTGGGCGAGGGCTGCGAAGCCCTCGCTAGCCGCAGGCAAGGGTCACCGCCTTTGCCCTGTGGGCATCTAGATAAGGGCCGCGACCCTCGTCAACTGTCGGTGAGGGCTTCCCGAACCTTACTAGGTTTAGGCGAGGGCCAGGACCCTCACCCGCGACCGGCAAGAGCTTTACGGCCCTCGCCCAATGGCCGACGAGGGTCACCGACCTTTGCCTGTGGTCGTCAAGGGGCGGCCGGCGACCCTCACTGAACTTGGTAAGGAATAGAAGCAAAAGAAAAAGAAAAAAATAAAATAATTTACAAAAATTCATAATTTTTGTAAAAATTTATAAAAAAATTGTCCACATCAGCTCCGACCATCCGACGTGACCGGCGAATGTTGATCGGCCCTCGCTGGACTTGGTAAGGAAAAGAAACAAACAAAAATAATAAAATATAATGAAATTCAATAATCTATAAACAAATTCATAAACTTTTTTAAAGAAATTTAAGAAAAATTATGTATGTCAGCACCGACCGTCCCACCGACCATCCTATGTGGCACAACCAACACCCATGTTAGCAATTTACAGCCAAAATTGATTGGAATGACTACATTGGCAAATCGTCAAACGATTTAAATCTAAATTAGCCAAATTAAAAAGGTTTATAACTAAATTGGTACATGTGCAATAAGTTTAGGATTTTTTTATAATTTTCTCCCTAAGAGAAGAGGTTGGTCTTAAATTTTTTTTATATTTCATTTCATATATTCTTTTATTTTTAATTTATTATTTGTTATCACGATATACCCAGTTGTGCGGGGCATTTTCGAGGGGGGAAAATTTGCCACGTACGAGTGGTGCCCGTCAGTCGCAGTTGGTCATTCTATCGATAAATCATCATCTGAGAGCCAACATTTCATGTTTCAACGATGATTAATTACGCAAAAAATTGCGATCTTCCCCAACAGGGCAAGATCCACTGAACTGCCTTCAAATCACCTCTCGTCCAGTGAACCGAGAAAAACCCAAAACAGGAATTACGGTGTTGGGAGACGGAGGCACATGATCCGAACAAAGGGAGGGGAACAGAACAGAACAGAACAGATCGAATGGTCTTCGGAGGAGAGCCAACTTGGTCGGGCTTTTGTTGGGTTAACTCTGAAGTCTGAATTAGGTGCGTTGCACTGTGTCTCTCTCGATCTTGAGGAACCCCGAGGAAAAGAGTGACTCCGTGTCTGTGGGTTCCTGTAATGCAGTGAATCATCACCATTCCTCGTCCCATCGAAGCGCTCAAAACTCTTTGTTTTCTTTAACCTTCTTCTTGTCTCCTGCTCGTGCGCTTTCTACATTCACATTGAAAAATTGGTGGGCTTGAACGAGGTCAACAAGGGCTCTCTTAGTTTAAGGGAAATTGGCATTTCTGGTATGTTAAGGTTGCCTTGTTGTGGTCCCTATCAGTCATGAATAATTTATATGATTGCGGCCAATGAAAGCAACTCTCGCAAGCTGAGGTCTCGCCATGGAAGAGTTATTGGGAACTTGATCCTATGATTACAGCGAGGAGTTTCGACACCACTGTTTCAGAATTTGACCTCGTCGTGTGAGATTTGGTCCTCAAGTTTCGATACTGCACATAGTTTCTGAAGCAACATTCCACCCAATGGATGATCGTGGACACTGGTGAAGTTTTTCTTTGGGGGTGCCATCAAAGCCATGTAAACTTTCACTCTGCCTCTGGGTTTCTCATAGAAAAGCTAAAGCAAAAGAACGATAAAAAGTGCCTTTGGGCAGATAGATGGATGGATACCAGATAGAGTGGAGACACAAAGCTGCACTTCATCGACTGCTACGTATTGAAGGAATTGTGTCGGCGAAATAATCTCGTCACATCATTGAAATCAAAAGCCCGTCTTTTTTAGTTATTGGTGATGTACTTTCCACTTTTCACTTTTAATTTCTTTTATAATTCAAAACATGAAATCAAAAAGTTTGTCTAAAGCTCCTGTTTATGAACTTTTGAATATTAACAGTTCAAATTTGATTTGTTTAATGGCTGAAAAGCCAAATGACAATGCCCAACATGAAGGCTGCTAGGAATGCAGAAAATCAGCAGTGACTTTTTCGTGGGGTCATGCGAAACTTACACGTAAATTAACAAATTATTTCTTCATGAGTTTTTGAACGTTACATAATATTTTTTAATTTTAACGAAATAAATATCCCTTTTACTGAGGCGGTAAACATCGTTTTAATGTAAACAGTCAGGCCGCTGATCATAATGTTCTACATTCTAATGAATAACGACTAAACACTCGTAGATTCTCATAAACTCTGGTATAAAACTACATGAATTGCTATCATACGGCAATAATTTTTTATTTAAGATTTTAGGGATTGATTAGAAGGACCAGTGACTGACTGGGGCAAGAGAAAGCAGATGCACAAATCTTGACAGCTACAACCTTACCAGGAAGATCAACCACTACTATTAGCATTGCTCATTTACCAGCCAGTGTGACTGTGATAAGATCAAAGTTACAACACTGATCGAATTTTCAAGAACATTTACAAAAGCTGAGAAACTACAGCACAGAGTCCCTACACGCTGTAACTCTGTTTTTCCTAATGGAAAACGAATTCTCAGGAACAGAGCGGAACATCGTCCTACTTAATCTTCTGCCGTGCTTCTTGTATTGTCTTTTGGGGTATAGTTAACACCAAGCTAGCTTCGTAGTTGAAGCTCAGACTGAATCTCTGTCGACTTTCCATGAGAAGAAGGATCGCTTGCTGACCGCCATAGCACGGACCCATCTGCAAAAATGAATACCCCAACGCAAAGTGACATCTTTTCTTTCAGTCGAAGGCCAAAAAAACAAGAAAAAAGGAACCATTTTGACGACCTCTGTGGGATGTCAAGTAATGTTCTACTTCAGTGTTATCGTTATGTACCTCGCGAGGAATAGTATGATTTTTTGCAATGCAAAATGGCGCCCTGAATCCCATCGTGGTGTTGCTGAGCCAGCGAGTCATCCCTCCTCGCCGGCGACGACGTCACGCTCGTCGTTGCCAGAGTAGCCGACTTGCTCTTTCCCAGCAGGTGCTTCGGCCTCGCTCGAAACCCCTTCCCCATCCTCGGCGTAGAGCCCGCCGCCGTCACCGGAGACGACGCCGGCGATGTCAGCGGCGACTCGACCGAGGGGAACTTCACCGTGTCGCTGTACCTCTTGGAGACGCCCACGGACAGGGGCTTCACCAGATTCAAGTACTTCTGCAACCCGTCCTTCGAAAGCCGCCTCGAACTAGAACCGTCGGAGAAGAAGCTCTCCGAGAGTTTACCACGCGCAGGATTCGGGGTTTGCTTATTCTTGATTTGCTCCTTCGAAGCGTCATTGGTCGCCGGAGGAGCTGGTTGTACTTCTCTGGATTTGACAGCAAAGAAGACGTTGCCGCTGGCGCTGTTTTTGAGCTCTGTTTCCCCTGTTTTCTCTGCTTTGACGTCAGGGGTGGCCACGGACCTGGACCTGGACCTGGACCTCCTGAACATCAAGACCCGAAGTTTGGGAGACGACTTGAAAAGAGAGATCGGAGACTGAGGCTGCGAAGTGGGTTCCATGGGAAGGATCTTCCGCTTGGAGAAGGGAGTGGTGGGAGACAGAGACAGAGGGACGGCCGGTTTATCAGCTTCGAAATAACACGAAGCATCGCGGCTCTTGGCTTCGACCGAGCTCGTTTGTCTCATCTCGTTGGACTGAAGGAAAGCGGCAGCGCTGGAGTCAGCTCCACCTTCGGAGTCGCTGTCGGTGGTGACGTAGCGCGCGAGCTCCAGCTCGAAAAAGGAGTCGTCTTCCTCGTCGGACCCGTAGTCCGTTTGCGCAGTGGAGTAACGCGTCTCGTCCGGCGTTGCGACGGTGGCGGTGACGGGTCTCCACAAGAGTCTGAGGAAAGAGAGAGCTTCCATGGCCGCTACAGGAAGGAAAGAAGGGAGAAAGAAAGGACAGGGTGGGGGGGGGGGGGGGCTGAGGCTCTTTGACAGAGGGTTTTGAGAGCGGGTTTGGGTTTATAGAGAGAGAGATGGTGTGGTGTTGGCTGTTCCCCAGGACTATGGAACAGTGCATGCACTTTGAAATGCAACGCTACTTTCCCGCCGCACTGAACATTCGATGGTATAGCTCTGTTTAAACAATGGATATCGTATCAGCTACGGATATGATCAGGGGATTAAAGGGAAATGACTGCTGCGCTGCGTCAGGGAGAAATGTGGGCGTGGGGAAAGCTGAATTGCATCGCTGCGGCACGCAAACGAGACGAGACTCTCCTTGGTGTGGGTTTCGCCTTTTCTCAGGGCTGGATGGTATAGCTCAGCTTTTCTTGGGCTAAGCGATGCGTACGTACTTCCGTATGTTCTTGCCAACTTTCTTTAAAAATGCAAATTTGATAATAGACATTGAAGGGTTAAAAAATAAGGGTTAATACTAAAAAAAAAACTCAAAACTGATACATTTGTAACAAATTTACCCCAAATTAATTTTTTGATCACCAAAAACCTTAAACTGGTACATTTGTGATAAATTTACCCCAAACTAATTTTTTGGCCACTAAGGGTCCGTTTGGCAACTTGCCAAATAGTAAAAATTTCTGTCCTTTTGTTCCCAGAATCAGTTTAGGAGCAGAAATCCGTTTGTTAAATTTTTTGTGCCCGGGCACAATTTTGCAAAAAATTGTTCCCAAAATCAGTTTTGGAACAGAATCAAGAAGAAAAAAAAAGTAGCTTCTTGATTCTGAAACAATTTTTCCATTTCTGATTCTTCTTAATTTTCTTCTTTTTTTTGGTTTGTTGTTGTTCTTCGGTCTACCGCCTGCCACTGGCCACAAGCCGGTCGCCGGCGGCGAGGGCAGCAACACCCTCGCCGACCATGGCCAAGGAAGGGAAGGGAAAGAAAGAAAAAAAAAGAAAGAAATATTAAAAAATTCAAAATATTATTAAAATATTATTAATAAAATGAAATTTTGTATAGTTACTAAACGCATGTCTATTCTTTTTCTATTCTAAAAATAGAAATTTTGGGTAGTTACCAAACGCCTTCAAATGCTTAGAAATTGTTTCCGGGCACGGAATCAAAAAGAATCATTTCTGAGCAGAATCTGTTCCCGGGCACAGAATGGTTGTCATGCGCAGCCTAAAAATCTGTAAACTTGTGACAAATTTACTCTCCTCTAAATTGAAATAATACCACCAAAAATCACAAATTGGTAAACTTGTGACAAACGAAAAGGTAAAACCCCAAACTGATATATATCTGTCAACCGACACATGTCATTTAACTTAGCAATGTGACAATAAAATTCAACGAAAACTAACGAAGGGTAAATTTATCACCGGTGTATCAATTTAGAATTTTTCGTGTTGAGACCCGTGCAATGCACAGGCATCTCGCTATTGCGAAGTAAAGAAAAGAAATGATTCGATATACAAAATTGCAAATATGGAATAAGTAGAATGGCCCGAGGGAGAGAGAAAGGCAACGAGAATCCCGTGGTACTAAGCTACTCCTCTACAAGTCCAAGGGCTTCGTGGGCGAAGTCTCTATTTTGGACTGGACTTCGAGCTGCAATTTTGTACAGGAGCAGGCCCAAATTTCCCAACCGAAAAAAAAAAAAAAAAGCTGGTACTTGGTAAATCCATATTCCATGCATATATCGTACGAAAAATCTTATATCTAATGTAACAAAGATGGACATGATAACATGATGCGGCTTACTTAACCAGTGATCCTTGTATGTCGCGAATCTTTTTGATTGGTTTCGATAGTTATCACGCTTAATTAGGTGGATGATATCATGTCAGCATGTCACGTGATATATGCGTTGTTACATAAGAAAAAGGGAAACGGATCCCCGCTTTTAATTCTCACTTTTGATAAAGCAAACCTTCCAAGCTCTCCGTGGTTCATTTACCTGATCAGTATTTCTTGTCTCCATAACTGGAAGGAAGGAAAGCCTCTCTATCATCATCTGCTGAACTTTGCAAAGGAGAGTGAGGAGCACAGTACCGGTTAAACCTCGAGCCGAGTCTAATTAGTATCTAAAGCCGAGTGAAGAGTTGATGGCGGTGACAAGTAGCGCGAACTCGGTTATCTATCGGTCCCCACACAGAATGATGACGTGTGGGCAACAGGAGAGGGCCCAAAACGAAGGTACTCTTGCTGGTGCATATTTGGTGGCAGATGGTCGAAGCAGACGAGGAAACAAAACCAAAGAAGTTGACAGAGAGCGTGAAAATGGACTCATCAAACGTTGTCACCTTCCCCTGACCTAATTTGTCCATGTCCTCCAATCTTGCCATTTGACATGTGGAGGGCTCTATCATCACTTGTCCCAAATGAGTGATTGGCAAAGGCTCAACGTCGGTTGGAAAAGGCGCAATGCTGTACACAAAAGGATAGCTAAAAGAACTCGATATCGGTTGTGAATGTTCTCTTCATAAGTTCCAGACTGGTTTCATTCTATTCGTACTCTGGTATTTTTGTCTTCTACGACTTGTCGAGACAAACATCCATCCATCTTTTAATCGCATGGTTCATAGATCTTTTTGCAAGAATGCTTCGCTGTTTGATGCCGCGCACTGGACTCGTCCTTGTGCCTTGCAGGAGAAGTTCCGTCGGTTCGATTAAAATCCCATTTGCCTAACTTGGGGCAGCTCTTGCATGATAATATCTACAGTCCCAAATGCTTTAGCAGAAGATGGACATTCATGTGGGCACAATCATTACATTGTCATCGAATGCATAAGATGTGTGTAGAAGACTCTTCTTTCATAAACATAGCCAAGAAAAGGCGAGTCGATCGAATGCTGCCTCGAAGAAGGATTTCTGAGACGTATGGTACTGTCGAGAATTGAAGATATGCGGCGAGGTTGAACGCATTGGTGTGTGCTTCGGTTCTGATCAATGCTCCGAGGATCAGAGAGCAACATAGGCGCATGTGATTAACAGGGACAATATCAGATGTTACTGGCACAAGATTGAGATGCCGATGTTCATGTTCCTCAAAGCACAATTAATTACTGTCCAAGTTCATTATTATGAACATTTGATACCCGTGACTGACAGCATGCATTGCTTGTATAGGGGAGATCAAAAGGACAGAGTAGCATCGACAATATGTCAGCTTCGTCCCAATGAATCGGACGGTCGGACTACTCAAAAGTATCAAGAACCTCTCTTACCAAAGGACAACTATTCCACGGTCGTCTTCATTTTCTAGTACCGTTGATGGAGATAAGTCATGTAAAGCCGAGGCAACTGCTTAATATCAGAAATTCGTTTTGGACAAATTGAAAAGTTTCCGCCTCTCTTTTTGTAACGGCGTCACTCATTCGCAACCCGGATTACTACATCCTGAAGGGCGATTTTGGAGCATTGCATTCGCTTCGTGCAGCAACGGGCACGCAGCAAATTGTCACGACTTAATCTCACAAACTAGTCCTGCTGAGATTTTGAGAGAAACCGACAACACATAGAGTAGCAAAAGACGAGTCTGCTAAAGAACATAGCACGGCAAGAAGGACATTATCTTTTTTTAAGTTCAGTCCGAAGATTTTTCCTCCATTGGGAAAAATTAAAGTACTAGTTCCAACCATATTCTTTCCTCCTAGAGTTGGAGATTCCCACGGCGACTTCCAGTAAAGCCGACCGGGCATATCTCGCTCTGTTTTCTTTATCTCCAATTGGCCTTTTACTGTATTTCATCTTCTACATTGGTCCATCGCATCTCTTTGTGGACACCCTTCCTGGGAGCATTTTAGCCTCTTCTCATCTCCCTGAAAAAGAGGTCAAGAATTGATCTTGGTCAATTCGTGAAGACTTCCTAGGACACAAGCACAGATGGCCAGGGCAATGAAGGATAACCCGCGTGAATTGAGTACGTACCGATGGATCTTTTACAGTGGAGAACCGCCTCGTAAATGGAGCTCTCTGAATCGCAGGACCTCCGCCATTCATCCGCGGAGTACGCAGAGCTTATCCTGGGGGAGCACTCGACCGGATAGACGGAGTTCTTGATCGCCTGACTTTTTGCACTACGAGTTTCCTCTGCTTTGGGTCCCGTCCCGCGTCCTCGCATTATCTGAACGAGTGGCCTGAACAAATGCAAGTACTTCCGGAATATCCGCCTTGATAGTCGCCGGCACTGCCTCAACGATGGAGAACGCAATCTGCTTTCGGGCATCACGGTTCTCTTCGCATGAACTGGAGGAGGCAGGGAAGAAGTCGGGTCCAAGGCTTCGCAGGGCTTCAGCTTCAATGGATCGACGAAAAATGGCAAGACATAGCCGTCGCGAATGACCTCATCAGCATGAACAAAAGGTAACGGAGGCTGCGAAGCCGGGAAATCGAATTTGAAGTCATGAGAGATGGAGTTCCTGCGGAAGCTCTTTGAGGAAAGGAATCTGGGGTCCATTTCAATGAAATAAGCTTCTTCGGATGCATCAAGCGAGGCCCTGATGGAACCGTCTGTAATTTCTGTAAGGGGATTTCGGTTCACTAGCCAACTATACGAAAAGCTCTCAATGGAGAGAGGCTGGGAAGCTTCCATTTCTTCCTCTGTTTCTATCTGGAAATGAAGAAGGAAGTGAGGAAGGAATATATATAGAAATGAACAATTCCACAGGCCTCTCTTGCAAGCTAGTTGACTCCTATCTTCTATCATATATATAGTGAATCCATGCGCATGTTTAAATGGTTATACCAGGATTAGTATATGTGTGGTTGGTGACATGATAATGAATTTAAAGTTTTGAAAAGAAGATAAAAGAGAACAAGAAGTGAGCCCCACGATCACTCAAAAAATTCACTATCGTACTTTATCTTTTTAAATATTTTCTCCTTTAGACTTCCCAAGCAAGATGCTTCCCTTTTTCTCAAGTTATATAATTGCGGGAGCAGAGTTCTGAGGACATATCAAAAGTAAAACAGGACAGATTATTACGTTTGAAGCTGCAGCAACAGACCAGAAACACTATTGAGATTAAGCACCTCCATGATCATGTCTGCTAATGTGTCTTCGGAACTCGTAGAGATATAAGTAAAAAATTTGAAGCCGTGTCCAATGGAAACGGATTCATGCATCCTGCATTAATCTATTCAGGCAGCCTCCGTAGCTGCATGATCTCATAAGCTTCTGGTTGATCTTGTATCTTATTCACTGGTGGACAAATTTGCTGATTTCGCTTAGCATGCTTTTGCTTTCTCATCATCCCTTTCTGCTCCGCTCGCCACAGTACCTTCTTGCGCCGGGGTGGTTATGGCCGACCTGAGAAAAGAAAATCCTGACTTCTGATGTTACATTCTAACAGCTTATGCGAAACCTAATACATATTATTGAACATGCGAGTTCATGCTCATATTCTTCTCAGCTAGAACCAAAGCATGCAATGCCAAGCTAGCCGGCGTCATGGTTCTAGATAAGCCAAAATACATCACAAGACTGCAAAACAGTAGCAGAATCAAAATAAGGTTTTTTGCGGAATACTCTGGGAATACGATATCAACTCTCGGCCTTCTTTGGTTCTCGTTTTTCCGATCAGGTAGCTGGCACTGAATTATAGTTTTTTTCCCCCAAACTTTCTGGGAGAAGCCTGTAAACAAATCCATAGCTCGGGTTAAACTGCCCGAGGTAGGCAGGCCATTGTCAGGTGGGATTCGGGTATGTGCTCAAAGAGGGATCAAACCTTCTCTTGGGCGGACAAGCACAACGATGGAGTCATTAAACTTAGAGAGTAGCCAGCCTAAGAGTACTTTCGAAATCACATTTCAGTTAGAAAGCATCAGAAGATAATGGAAATATGACACTCAAGTGATGTTTAAGAAATAGAGAGATGGTGTGTCGTGAGCCAACTCATAAGAGCTGAAGAAAGAAATTAAGGGATAAAATATCAGGGAGTTTCAGTGGCAAGGAATACTCAGGCATTTGCATCCACTAATGACCCTGTTGTTTATGAAGGTGGAATCTTCTCAAAGTTAAATGCTGGAAAAAGTTCCGTCATTATCATGTAAGCTAACCTAACTATACCATTCACTAGCAAACTACAAATGCAAGACTACAAGGCAGACAAAGGGTGTCCCATGGGTGTCGGCAAATGACATGGACATCTACCCAAGTTTTTCTTTGAGGGCAAAAAGCCAGAGATGGAAAGAGACGTGAAAGGCAATTGGCCCCATCTGCCCTCTCTTTAAAGGACACTAAGCACTTTCAAGAGAATCTAAAACACTAAATAGAAAGCAGCGCGCTGTTCCAAACAGAATGTTTTCTCGACTGTGCTTGATTTCTTCACAATCATGAGGTAATGAACAAGCTTAACTGACGCATCACCACTGTGACTCAACAGTGAAAATTCCACGAAGAATCCATTGGTGATATCCTCTGTTTAATAAAGTGAAGTTAGTTTCACGGAGCGCATTTCACATAGAGACCATATTCCAAAAAAGACGATTCCTTTGATAATGCTAGGACCTGCCCATCTCTACATCAATCTCAACACCTTAAGACCTAAGAAGAATCCACAGAAACAACGAAATCTGACCAGAGAACTAGAGAGTTCTAGAGAAATGCAACTAACGAATGAAAAGAAAATCCTACAAGAAGATTTCTCTAAATTCAGCATTCCCAGTCCTCCAGCTTCCACAAAAGGAGCGCTGTTATTCCCTTTAAGTAAGCCCCTCTTTTCCATTTCCCCGCATCACATGTCATGCAGCATGTTTGTGTGTATGTGTGCGCGCAATGGGGGGAAGAGGGAGTGTGAACAAGGTAAGTTACTGCAGAAAGAAAACTCAGGACTTACCTAACCCCAAAATGAACATAACAAGAAATCAAGAGAAGCAGTGTCATTAGAAAAAATGATGGCAATGTTTAACTAGCTGGTCAAAGAATATACAGTTTTAGGTGATATTATTTCATCAGATCTAAGAATACAAATGCATTCCAAAGGCTATGCAACACCATTGATGCCAACAAGTTCCTTGATCGTGCGAAAACAGCACCCATCACCACTCCTAGGAAAATAAGCGGAAGCATCCTCTGCATATTGAAATGAGCCAAAGCAAAAGCCAATGAACTCACCAATATTGAGGACCATACTGGCATGTACTTGGTCAAGGAAGGTAGAAGAAACCCACGGAAGACAATCTCTTCCCAAACTGGGGCACATATTGAAACCACCACAGCGTAAAGGGCCATGGCCACGGGGTCTCGTGCAACTATTGATTGCTCAACACTGGAGACTGTAACTGGTGTAGAGGGAAGAACAGGCAACAAATTAAGGTTGACTTGAGACAAACGGTTCACAAGCGGAAACATAAGACATCCTAGACCAACATCAAAGTGCCATTTTCCTTTGAGGCTGAACCTAAACCAATCAGATGGAAGGGGACGGAATCTTGCAAGACAACGATGGAGGATTGCAATTCCAGCAAGACCTTCTACTACATCAGTCAAGAGGCTGTACAGTGCTTGGCCTCTGTATGTTAGGGTTTCCTTTCTGAACCCTCCCATGTGAGCCAGGAAAGGTATAATCCAAGATCCCACGAACCAAAATGATGCGATCCATAGAAGCATTACCTGCAGTACCAAATAGCAAATCCACCATTATAGTCTTGATTTAATTCTAAAATATTGTTAATTTCCAAGTTACAGAAGAACATTATCTAATGTACTTTGATGCATAAGCTCTGATTGGACACAGATTGGAGAACTCCTGGGCCCACCCAGACATAGACACAGACCCGGAGAGAGAGAGAGAGAGATGACAGTATCTTAAATGTAAGCAAAAGGCTCATGCACTTATTAATTGTTCGAATATCAGGAGATATAGAGTTCCATGACTTTTGGATCCAGCAGACTTCATCTCTTGTAAATGATCTTCCCACCCCACAGGTACCTTATTGATGCCAAAAGAAAAAACCAGAAAAAGATGAAAGAACAAAAGAAAACATCCACTTCAGTTTGGGCTACCACGAACCACCACGATATCATTCAACCAAAAAATATTAAGGTTGACCCAACAGAGACCAGGCACCTATGCCCCTATTGAATATTTCGTCCTTTCATTTTCATAGCCTCTTCCATAGCAGAACATGCATCACAAATGCTCATGTGCACATTGAGAAACCAAAAGCTTGTAAACACAACATACAAAAGGACCAAAGGTGCTACGTTGGTGCCAAAATATACAGCCCCCTCATTGAAAACACATTAATCAAGTCAGCTTATCCAAGGTGAAATGCAAATGCTGTCATATTCATTTTCCCAAACACTATCGGCTCAAATTTCCTTTTGCACAGTTTGCAGCTTTTCACTGAAGGAGAGAAAATAGCAGGTCATAAAATTTAACTCATAGGTTCAAACAAGCTAATTTATATACAACTATTAAGTTGAAGACTGCCTATTTGTTCAATAAATAACTGTGCCATGTCCGGAGAAATCATAATAGACATCTATAATATAAAAAACTATAGTAGACACTATTCGTGAAATAAGTATTGAAGTCCTCGACAGATTCTCTATAGCTTATCACATATAATATTAAACAGTAACAAAGACACATATATATCGAATGGAATAATAGTAGCTATAGTTGGGAAAAACCTGCAGAATTGTCTCTGCAGTCCATGGCACTGTCCAAGGTTTTGCTCTGAAAATTGCATCTTTCACCTGAAATACAAAGAACATCTGAATATCATCTGCAAGACATGTGATTTATAATCACTTTTGAGCTACTCCAAAACTGAAGTTGCGAAAAACATTCGTCCAGATCCACTTTCGCTCCTTAAGAGAAGCATTGTTGTCAAGATGCACAACTAAGCTCCAACACTTAAGCTATCTTGCAATTATTACCATAATCATAAGCCACTCACAGCTCATTAACACTGAAGTTGTTTTAACAATTATCATATTTGCATTGATAACAAAAAGTTAATCATATCTGCAGACAGCTCTTCACATGTGGATATTATAAACTATAGAAGGCAATAGTCAATAGACTCAATACACATGATATGTTAACTGCAAATACCATATTCAAATGGGTGTATAGAAATATAATCATAGCCATGTGTCACTCAGACCACTGAACTGGCAATACACACCATCAAGAATAGCATACACTGGCCCAGGTAACATAGTCTTTGACATCAAAAACAATAATTCACTAACCATACCATGAAGAAGGCCTTCCCATATTTGTAACAAGAAAAAGTATTACCTTATGGATACTCGAGAACCAATTCTTCTTCCCAGTATTTGATTGGTCAAATCCATGTTTCTCCAACTTTTCCAACCTCTTGTCTTCCACCAACTCAGAATCAGGATTTTGTGACGCGAATTCATCAGGTCGAAAACATGAAAATCTCCATCTCTACAAAACAAGAACCACTAATGAGTTCCAATTATGAAACAACAAATACACTCTACAACTATTGTTTTCTCCAAATTTTCTCACAAAGAATAAAAAAAACCCTAAACCCCCAAAAGCCAGAAGTTTATTTGAATTAACTAATATGAAAAACCAGCCAAACAGTAGCTTGAACTTAATATAACGTAAATCCTTCCTTCAGTGGAATGATGGAAATGGTGAAAAAAAGATAATGCAACAGGATAATAATGCTTCACATCAGGCCATCTTCAATTAAACTAAAGACAGGAAATTAGTTGGTTCTGACAACATCAAACAGAACAATCAGCTGATATACTAACAGATAATCGTTTCCGTATTTCCATCGGTTGTCATTATCAATTCTTGCTAACACCAATTAAACAGTAAAAAGCCATCTAATTTACTACCGAAGCTCGCGTAAGTTCCACAGCTATCAAAACTAATACTACATAACTCTCAAGCCGTGCTTGAGTTATCATTATCAGTTCTTCCTACCACTGACTAAACAATAAAAACCCATCTAATTTAGTACCGAATCTCGTACAAGTTCCACAGATAATGGAACTAATACTACGTAACCCTCAACCCGTGCTTGTGCTCGGACAATGCTTATGCAGATGGCACCTCGTACTGGCCACCCCTCGCCTCTAAGATGTAAAACAGCTGACTGAACAAATAAGGTTCGATATTCAGCCAGTCTACAAATACTCCTAGAGCCTCAAACTCAATCTTATCCTACAAGCTATCATAGAGAATCACGGATTCGACAACAACAACAACCACTGCGGCCAAGATTATCAGCGAAAACGAACTCTGTTTCCGCAAATTCGAACTCACGAAACAGGAATGCCCGAACATTAGAGAGCTTACCTGCTTCGAAGGCTTGTGGAGTGAGGTGGCGAAGGGCAAGCGGCGAGCGACGGGAAGGGAGAAAGTAGCCGCCGCGGACCGCCATCTCAAATCCCTAAGCCTAGAGGTAGGAGTAGCGAGAAGGGGAGGAGGAGGGCGGGAGAGCGCGCAGGAGGAGCAAGGGCCCGGCATCGAGGCAAGCACCGGCGGATTCGAAACGGGCAACGCATCAGATCGGCGGCGTCGGAGCTCCGATTCCGAGCATCGGATTCGACCGAGACGAGCCGGCGAGCGAGCGAGCGAGGGAGAGGGGATGGTGGTGAAGAACGGTTGACGCTACTGTGGTTCGTTCGTTCGTTCGGCGGGGGAGTGGGACCCGGTGAAGCGGTGACAGCTACGGCGGCGTCGTTGGCTGCACTTGCAAGTTGCGAGGAAGGGACACGGCGTGTTGCGCGGTCTCACCGGGAAACGAAACGCCGTCCGTTTTCCAGATCACGGAAACGACGCGTCGCCAAAGCATTGTCTTTTCCTTGTAATTTCTTTTTGTCCACCTAATGTCCCCAGGAAATTTCGCAAAAATACTATTAGCTAAAGCTAATTGCCTAATAATTATGTTAATAGGTTTGCTTTGCTTAACAAGTTCCATTTGTTTCGAGGAAAATGTATGATTTCAAAAAAAAAATTTCTTAAAATGATCGATTTTATTATTTGGAATAATTAGTCAACAAAAAATGTTCTCGTTGTTGACAATAATTTATATCTAAATATTTTTTATTCATTCGTTTTTATAAGTAATATAAACGGTCATTTTTAGGAAAATATTTTTCAAATTAATTATTTTCCACAAAACAAACGGAATCTAAGAGAACTAAACCTACAATTGTAGAACTACGAACATGTACTTGATCAAAAAGAGCAAAAATTATCTCAATCATAGAATTCGTTTGTTTCACGGAAAATGAATGACTCTGAAGACATTTTGCTAAAATTGATCGCTTGTTGTCGCTTGAAATAGTTAGCCAATGAAAAATATTTTCATTATCAACAACAATTTATGTCTAATCATTTTTGTGGATGATGAAAATATTTTTCATTCATTATTTTTTATAAGAGATACAAGCGATCATTTTTAGGAAAAAAATTTTCTAAATCATGCATTTTTCTTGAAACAAACAAAGCATGATCAATGGTTCGCTTGAAATAATTAGTCAGTGGAAAAAAATTTCATCATAGATAACAATTTATGTTTAAACATTTTCGTGAATGATAAAAATATTTTTTATTCATTCATTTTTGTAAGCGATACAAACGATCATTTTTAGGAAAATATTTTCCAAATCATTCATTTTCTCCGAAACAAATGCACCCGTATACTTAACTAAATTTTCATTTGAGAAAATGACAGTAATAATTCTTAAACTTTAGCCTATCGTGCCATGTTATACTCTGACTTTTAATTAGTTCAATATAGCCCTTGAGCTATTCCTAAATGTTATTTTTTTTTGTTTGATCAAACAAATGAGAAAGTCACCACAAGTTCCTAAATTATTGCAAAATATGCAATCTAGTATCTAAACCATCATGAAATGCACAATCTAATCTCTAAACTTTCGTCTTGTTTAATCTAATTCCTCAACTTTTCCTTAACAAAGTGAAATCAGTTCTTCGGTACTATGCACAAACCTTCAAAATTACACTATTGCTCGTATTTTAGAATACCTTTTTATTTCAAATCATTTCTTAAATCAATGAAAAATATACTTTTTTAAATACCTCTTAATATTTTTTATCCATGTAAATATTACGATAATTTTATTTAAGTATAGTTTAGCTAATAATCTCCATAATAATGAAAGAAGAACCTCATTTAAAGTTGTATGGGGTTGATATTCTTGCTACTTCAAGTCTGAGTAATTTCATAAGCATATCTGGATACCATATTATTTTATTAATATACACTCGTACTTATATTTATTTAAATCCTGCTCCTAATTTTTTAGATAGATAAATTTTGTGTTTCGTGTCTTCTTAATCAAATTTAATTAAATATGTATGTTTTCAAGCTCCACAATTAATGATCAATATAAATGAAATTATGTATTCCACATTGCTGCCTCCGCTGGAAATCAAGAAAAAATTAGCTCAAGTTAAGGAGCCCGCCTCGCCTCCCCTCTTACCTTGGCCAACCGTGAGCTATTGATCCAAAAATAAATATTTTTACAAAAATAAAACGCACAAATTTAACAAAACTTAATTAAGGAAACACGAAATATAAAAACTTGAAATTTTTATCTCTCTAAAAAATTATGACGATTAATTTAAGTACGAGTATCTATAACTTAATTAATATCGTTAGTAACTATCTTTATAAAAACACTTAGACTCGAAATAGCAAGAACATCAAACGATACAATTCTATATGAAGTTCTACTTTTACTATTATAGAACTCATAAGTTAAAATATACTTAAAAATGAAGCTATTATAACATTTATATAGACCAAAAAGGTCAAAAAAATAAATAAAAGATAATATATTTTTTGTTTATTTAGGAAATGGATTAAAATGAAAAGATATTAAAAAATCTGGGCAACAGTGTAGTTATGAAAGCCTTGAACAATATATATTGAACAAATTAAAAGTTAGGAACTAAATTGCACATTTCACAATAATTCAGGGAGTAAATTGCACATTTTGCAATAATTTAGAGACTCGTGATGACTTACTCCCTTGTTCAGTTGTTTAATGAAACAAAAGGACTACATGAGAATTTTGGAATGGTTCAAGGACGTGATAATTACTAAAAAATTCCTAAATTTATTACACGGATGTCAATTCAATCCTAAATTTTTTAAGGGATAAGTGCACTAAAAGTCCTAAAACTTTTCATGAAAGTGCAATTGAGTTTTAAAATTTTCAAAAAGTGCAATCAAGTCCTAAAATTTGTCAAGTTGGTGCAATCAAATAATTATGTTAACTCCGTCCAACTTAATAAATGGAAAATGTTAACGTGACATTTTTTATTACTTTCTCTTTCCTACATGGTATTTTTTATTTTCTTTTTCAAATTTAGTTAAATTAGATTAAATAATTTAAAAAGAATAATTTTTTTTCTAAAAACCAAGTAAAAAAAAAGAAAACAAGCCCTCAAAGGTGGCCACCGCCATAATTGCCAAGAAGGGCCAACGGACGTTACCTAGGCCTTGCCGAAGCCTGATGACCCTCGCCGAACTTGGGCGAGGGCCTACTAGCCCCGATTTGGGGGGAGGGTGCGACCCTCGCTCCAAATTTGAGCGAGGGTCGCTGGCCCTTCTTAGCGGCGTCCACCACCATTAGTGTGCAGTTGGTTTTTTTTTAACTTTTACCATTTTATTTTTTTTATCTAATTTAGTTTGTATTTTTTTAAAAAAATTAATATTTTTTCTAAACGTGACGCTTGGTGGATGCCGCATCATCGCCACCATCACCACGTGTCTTAAGAAAGTAATAAAATAAGACACATTAACATTTTCCGTTAGCCTAATCTGATGGAGTTAACGGAAGGATTTGATTGAACTAATTTGACAAATTTTAGGACTTGATTGCACTTTCAAAAGTTTTAGGACTTAATTACATTTTCGTGATAAGTTTTAGGACTTCCAGTTCATTTATCCCATTTTTTAATTTGCCATTTAGTCCTAAACCTTTTGACGATTTACCAATGAGTCATTCTAGCTAATTTTAGCCGGAAATCGCTAAAATAACAATCCAATTAGTGTTGACCAACATTAGCATAGACGATTTTTGCAAATTTTAAAATTTTTCCTTTTCTTTTTTCCCTATTTCCCTACGCCGGTTACCGGCTACAAGCGAGGGCATCCTGGCCTTGCCTGTGGCTAGCGGAGGGAAATAGGATAAATAGAAAAAAAAAAAAAGGAAAAAAATTAGATGTATTCTTAAAAGAATTGCAAAAATTATCCATGTCAACGCCGGTCTGTCACGTAGAACGGTTGGCATCCGTGTCAGCGATCATCGGCCAAAATTAGCCGAAAGAATTATATTGGCAAATCGTTAAATGGTTAATGACTAAATTGGTTAAATAAAAAATTTAGGACTAAAGTGATACCCATACAATAAGTTTAAGATTTTTTTTGATAATTTTCTCGTTCAAAGACTATATTAAATTAATTAAAAGTTCAAAAATAATATTGCAAATACAACAAAAATTCACAAACCATGAATGTCAATTTCACTCCCGTTTCACATGTAGAAAGATCTTTCGAAAAGTCACGTCAAGGCGGGGACCTTCAGTTGCCAAGAGTCCAAACCGTTAATGTCAAAGTTATATGTCTAAATTGGCCAAAAGAGAGTGATTTATCTCTACAAAAAAAGGGACCTAAATTGTCAGAGCGCAATTGATGGGGTTTACTTGTTTGATCTCCCTCTCCCCCACAATCGATCACAATCATGACTTTTGCCTCAACTTTCCATCAATAAGAAGGAATTTCTCTATACAGACAGGAAACTCCCTGACCCATGTATAATTGAAAGAAAATATAAAAAAATAATCCACATTTTAAAAAAGTGTTCATTTCTCTTTCTGGAAGCAGACTGCGGTAAAAAGAAGAATTCATTTCTCTTTCATGAGAAATTTAATTACTTTGTCTTATTTCAATTATTTAATAGCAGGCTAGTAGAATTTGTAGGCATTCTAGATCATCTTGACTTTTGCGCATCTAACGCGCATCTTAACTCTAATGGTGTCCAGACATTACACTAACCTTTTCATTAATTTTTGTGTTAGAAAAAGTCCCGTTTCGAAAAATTGGTATACTTTAGGACGATTAATATATCCTAATTGACTTTTTTGAGCACTCTCTTGGCAATCTCCTCTTCCCCGCAAGTTTCATTCTTTCACAAGCCACAGCTTGATCTGCTTAATTTGTCAAAGTTTAGTTCAACCACCATCTGAAGCGGGTCCTGTTTTCCCTCCCTTTTTTCCCTCCCCCTCGTTGAAGTATCATTCCATTTCCTACTGTAATCAGCTTCACCAGATATAAGCGTGTATTTATGAGCTCGCGAACATGAACTTACTAGTTACCATTCTAGAGTGAAGTTTTCCTAAGTGATGGAAGAACTTTTAACCCTCATGTGTAATATAAAGCTTTGTGCCTCTTCTTATTGTTCGAGGGTTTTGGCACTGTGGGTCGTGCTTCTACATGGGTTTGGATGGTGCATGGCCATCGGTGGGGAGGTAAGCTTGGGCTCGAGATTGGTGGCTAGTGAGGACCGAGCTTGGGTTTCAGATAATGGGACTTTCGCTTTTGGTTTTGCCACTGCGAATGGACGAGGTGACCGGTTTCAGTTGGCGGTTTGGTTCGCGCAGCTTCCTGGTGATCGGACCCTAGTTTGGTCAGCTAACCGGTAAATCGAAAGTCATCGTCATTACGCCTTTCCCATTAGTAAATGCCACTTGGTATAATGAAATGTTTCTGCAACATATAGTTTTGTTCATACATTCACAGGAATGCCAATGCTTAAAGAATTGCCATTTTCTGCATACCTCTTGTCCTTTAAATAGTCGTCCACTAGCTGTACAAGATGTGAATATCAATTATGCATGCCATGTTTCTTGAGATGTAACCTGTTTGTGTTATTCTACGACAGATGATTGTAGACAGTTTTTGGTTGAATATGTTGTAAATTTTACCTAGCAGTAGCAAAGATGAAAGGTCTAGCCAAAGTCTTCTCATAAGGTGTGCTGTATATTCTTAAAGTGACTTCAACAAGACCAATGGTGGATAGTTTTCAAAGCAATAGGTGCTCGAAGAATTTCCTTAATCACTTGAGGCTTAGGAAAGTAAGGAGTAGGGCCAGAGATGAAGAAAATCTTTCCGAAAGATATCGGATTTTGGAAAAGTGGCTAGCAAAAGCAGGAAATCATTGGATTATATGATCAATCATTAAGACTTACCCAGAGTCCTTAATTCTTAAAACTAAGACATGGACATGATAACGGAGTTACAGAGGTTCATAGAATTCTCTTGATCAATGAAAGCGGCTTGTCTAATTCATGCCCCATTTGTTCTTTTACTGGTTGTAGAATCAGAGTTAGCTTGTCAAATCTACTTTTTGTACATTCACTGCATTTCACTTGTCTTGGAAAGTTCTCAGTCTGGTCTCTGACTTTGATAATGGAGGAGAGCACAAAATTCTTTCTCCATAACTAGTCTTTACAAGAGCTTCTGCAGGTGTATATAGTGAATTTAAGCCAGCCATATTCATTCTCTCTCTGTTACTGTCATCTCCTTATAGAAACTCCCCGGTCAGCCAAAACGCGATCCTTGAGCTCGACACCACGGGGAACCTTGTCCTCCTCAACGGCACCACCACCGTATGGACTTCCAATACCTCCAACTCCGGTGTGCATTCAGCGACCATGTCTGAAACTGGCAACTTCATCCTCTACAATGCCACCGACCACATAGTATGGCAGAGCTTTTCGCATCCAACCGACACTCTCCTCCCTAACCAACTGTTAACCATCTCTCTCGAGCTCACCTCGGCGACTTCTCCTTCACATGGCGGTTACTACACTTTCAAAATGCTTCAACAGCCGGCATTGCTGAGCCTCGCACTCACATACCACTTGCCTGGAAGCTATGATTCCTCCCCTGAATTTTACTCTAACTACTCTTATTGGACCGGACCAGACATATCCAATGCAACTGGCCCAGTGATAGCGGTACTAGATGAGGCGGGAAGTTTTGGGATTGTGTATGGTGATTCAGCCGATGGAGCGGTCTATTTGTACGAAAACAATGGCGATGATGGAGGGTTACCTTCAGCTGTGAACCGATCGTCTCGGGCTTCGGTTCTTCGGAGATTGATTCTAGAGATGAATGGAAATTTAAGGTTATACCGATGGGATAACAATGTGAACGGTTCTAGCCAATGGGTACCAGACTGGGCCGCCGTTTTGAATCCTTGTACTATAGCTGGAATTTGTGGAAATGGGATATGCAATTTGGACAGGAGCAAAACGAGTGCTACTTGTTCATGCCTGCCAGGAACTTCTAAGGTTGGCACTGATGAACTGTGCTCAGAAAATTCTTCCCTGACCGGGAAATGCAATTCAGAAAATAGAAATAAAACATCTGAGTTTAGAATCTCAGTGGTTCAACAGACAAAGTACCATTTCTCCGATCGTTCTGTCGTAGCAAACTACAGCGATGTAGCTACAGTTTCAAATTGTGGTGATGCTTGTTTATCAGATTGCGAATGCGTTGCTTCTGTTTATGGTCTAAATGAGGACAACCCTTACTGTTGGGTACTTAAGAGCTTGGAATTTGGTGGATTTGAGGACCCCAGTTCGACCTTATTCGTGAAAGTCAAATCCAAAGGCTCGGCATTCATAGATGGCCACGAGAAAGTAGTGATTCTTCCAGTTGTAGTTGTCATGGCGGTTCTCATAGGTCTACTCTGTTTATTGTTGTACTACAATGTCAACAGGAGAAGGTTGCTTAGGAAAGCAATGGAAAGTTCCTTATTTACCTTGTCCGGTGCGCCAATGAATTTCACTTACCGTGACTTGCAAATTCGCACCAGCAACTTCTCGCAGCTAATTGGAACAGGTAAGTGCCAATATTGCTAAACTTTATTTATCCTGGCCAAACAGCAAAGGAAGCGGAGGGTAAACAGGATTTGGTCTGTTTGAGATCCGAGATTATTAATGTAGTCTATACGGTGTTATTTGCAGGGGGATTCGGAAGTGTGTATAAGGGAAGCCTTGCAGATGGAACTCTAGTCGCGGTGAAGAAGCTTGACAGGGTTTTACCTCATGGTGAGAATGAATTTATAGCCGAAGTGAACACCATCGGTTCAATGCATCACATGAACTTGGTTCGTTTATGCGGATATTGCTCTGAGGGTTCACAGAGGTAAAAAACCATCCCCATGAAGTATTTTGAGAGCATGGAAAGCTTGATTTGCATAACTTTGCATACCAGTTAGTGAAATAAGCCCATGTGCTCATTTGACTTTGTATGTTTAATTTAGTTATAAAGGAGAATCCTGACTAATCAACAGAAACTTTCCATTTTTATTCTTCTTGATTGCTTGATTGGTAATGGACAGGCTTCTTGTTTACGAGTTCATGAAAAACGGGTCCTTGGACAAGTGGATTTTTCCTCCGTTCAGCTTGCGAGACAGATTGCTAGATTGGCAAACCCGCTTCCACATAGCCATCGGGATGGCACAAGGGATCGCATACTTTCACGAGCAGTGTAGGAACCGGATCATACATTGCGACATTAAGCCGGAAAATATTCTACTGGATGAGAATTTCTGTCCCAAAGTTTCGGATTTCGGGCTAGCTAAGTTGATGGGGAGGGAGCACTCACATGTCATGACCATGGTAAGAGGAACTAGAGGCTACTTAGCTCCAGAATGGGTTAGTAACCGGCCTATCACAGTAAAGGCCGATGTCTATAGTTATGGGATGCTTCTTTTGGAGATCATCGGAGGACGGAGGAACCTGGACATGTCTTTTGACGCTCAAGACTTCTTCTACCCTGGCTGGGCTTTTAAGGTACCCTCTCAAACAAGAGAATTAATACCGTTTCATGGTGTTCACATTCCTTTTATAGCAGACGTTTGCATTCTTTCTTTTCGGATGCTTTCGCTATAATGATCCTGTCGACGTCCTTGCAGGAAATGACAAAGGGAACACCAATTAAAGTGGCGGATAGACGACTAGAAGGGTCCGTGCAAGAGGACGAGCTAATAAGAGCATTGAGAGTCGCATTCTGGTGCATTCAAGATGAAGTCTTCATGAGACCTACAATGGGGGAAGTGGTGAGGATGCTAGAAGGCTCGATGGAGATCAACTCGCCTCCAATGCCGCAGACTGTACTTGAATTAGTTGAAGAAGGGCTAGATCAAGTCCACAGGGCAATGAGAAGAGAATATCATCAGTTCAGCTCTTCTACTATCACCAGTCATCTATCGTCTAATGCTGCATGCAGTTACTCGACGATGTCGCCCAGATAATATAGACAAGATTAGAGGAAAGAGTGGCCAATCAAATGAGATAGATTCTTCGCAATTTCTGCGAGTATGGCTGAATGTCAAATCGCAGGATGGAACTGTCAGAATTGATCCAATTCTAATCCTCCAAAAGATCGTTGATAAGTCATAGCCAACCCGTAATGATCAAGTATGTTTCCTTTATGCCTATGCACAATCCTCCATCAATCGAAATGCTTAAGATAAACACTTAAAAAAGACATACCATACACTCGTTAAGAAAAGCCAGGTAAATTAACGTTTAGGTCTCGAAACCTCATACAGCTACGACTCTATGGCAAAGTCATTCAAGTTTAAACGTCTTCGCTGTTGAGGCACTGTAACCAGAGAGACCGTCATGATACATTGACCGTAAAATGACGCCAGCGTATTTCTTTGAACCTTGAGATTTGGAAGAACTTTCGAGGTAAGATCGGCTGCAGGCACAAAGCCCCTGCCAGTGGCTTGAGGCGCGGCTCCCGGGAAAATCTTGCTAGCCGGAATGGCCGAAGTTCACTGTTTCCAGGCTTCTTCAAGGTCGGCCACATCACCGGGAATGTACTTGCATGGCGGATTGTAATAGAACTGAACCCAAACAAAGTCCAACAGTCCTGTCTTCAGGGCATTCCCGATCCATGCACCAGGGAACAGACATTGTGGAGCGGCAGTCAAGTGCATCTTCTTATTACCGCGTCTGCTATACCCGGAAAGGTACGTCGAGAGATCATCCCGGTGCTGGTTCATGCCTCCTTCAATGTCGAAGCTGATGCCATCCAGAACCGCATCTCCAAGCGGCCGCGAAGAGGACTTCCCTCCCAGGAAATTGTTCCAGAGATAAGTTGCGACCCTCATAGCATCCTCGGCCGCAAAGAGGACTTCCCTCCCAAGAAATTGTTCCAGAGATAAGTTGCGACCCTCCTAGCATCCTCGGACGAGGCTAGCGTATAGCTACCAGCGCCTCCGATACTGGGCTTGGCACGACTTTATTTCAGGACTCAGCTTAGTGCAAGCATTGACGGATGGGTCGGTTTATCACCGGAGTTCGGCCATTTCCAAGTTCAGCAAGAAAACCTATGTTAACAAATTCATAGTTGCCGGTCGCACAAGTTCCGGCCAGAGAGCCTTCATTCCCGTTTCGGCCCGAACAAAGCATTAGTTCCGGTAGCTAAATCAGCATCTCTAACCACAGAAATGCCAAGGAAATCGAAAACTTAGAAGCCATCTAATGAAGACGGATGGTAAATTTTTCGTGTTTTCTTGTAACCTAGAACAGACTGTTATTCTTACAGTAGATTAAAAACGGTCACTTAATCATTTCTCTTATGTTAATTTGCTTTGCTTGCACTTACTTAGAGAACTGAACCTAGAATTGTAAAGCTATGTACATGTACTTGATATACAAGAGCAAAAAAATCTCAATCTTATACTTATCTTAAAAATATTTACTAAACGAACACTGATATCATCTTCTGTTAAGAGAGTTTGCTCCACTTAAGAAAATTTCTAATACATGAAATATCCCCGTAACTCAATACACGTAGTAGAAAAAAGGTGTTACAACTGTCAATACGATTTCGACCAAAAAAAAACTGTCAATACGATGAATTATTAGAGAGATTAGGGTGATTAATGAACAATTGCATTGATGTGTGTGTGTATATATTTATAATATATATTCCATTTTCAATGTGGATGATCTTCCGCTAAGTGATGTCACGGCGTGGACCTTCCGCTGCCAAGAGTCCAAACCATTAATGTCAAAGTTAGGAGTGATTTATCTCTACACGAAGAAGACCCGAATTGTCAAAGTTCAATCAACGTGGGGTTTGCTTAATTGATCTCCTAATCCCACATAGGGGTATAAAAGGATTGCGGAGATGAATCGTATAATGTTTTAAAAGATATTATTTATAGTTCCAAACTACACCGTGCTCTTTTCATTCTAAAAAATAAAGATGTAAAGAATTGAATTTAAGAGATATTTTCCATTTTCAAGTACACGAAAGGAAAAATCATATAGATTTAGTACTTGTGTGTTTTGAATACTTTCCAATTTCCATGTATATACATATGAAAATAATAATGTGCATACCTTTTTCAATGTACACATATTTAATTTTTATACACCTCTTTGCTCCCTATCGAGTGTCGAGAGAACAAAAAAACATCTATGACACATCTGATACATTTATCATTCTTTTGGAAGAGGGTAAAACTAACGGGCCAATTAATGTTGGTTGTCTCAGTTTTGTTAATGGATTGCATTCTTTAGAAAAAGATATAATCTTTATAAATATCATGAGGCAAAATGATATGTTATGATATGTTACTCAAGTATCTGCATACATTGCAGATCTTCTGTAATCATAAAAAATGAAAAAAAAAATTATGTTTTCTAATAAATGATATATTGTCACCTAAGTATTACAATTTTAGTGGTTGGTGATGTTTGTTTATTTCAAAGAGTTATAAGGTAATGTATCTCGAATAAATCTTAAAGTCTTAACTCATAAGAAATCTCAATAATTTTCTGACTGCAAAAACTTTATTCCAATATATGTATAGGTTAAAAATGTTTTTAAGCCGCGGTACGTGACCAGTGTGAACATAAATCCATGCGAACCATTTTTCATGCAGATCAAAGTCAGAAATACGTCAATTTCTGGGGCTCTGCCTGCTCTTTCTCTCGTCGCTGACACGCCATTATTGTTTGAAGACCGTAGAGATTCAAACACGTACCCCCCAGGTGTCCTACACATGTCCCATCCTATCCAGAAGCCGAAGCCGACCACTTGATCTGCTTATTTTTTCAAAGTTTAGCTCACCCACCACACTGCACGTGTCCTGATTTCCCTCCCTTTTTTTACTTCCCTCGTTGACCTCTCATGCCATTTCCCATAATGATCAGCTTCGCCAGATTTGCGTGTGTATATATGCGCTCACGAACGTGAACTTACACCGCTTTAGAGTGAAGCGCTTGGCTTGCCAGCTTCCAAACACAGAAGCTTTTCCAAGTGAAACAAGAACTTCAACCTTCATGTGTAATATAAAGCTTTGTGCCTCTTCTTATTGTCCATGGGTTTTTGCATTGTGGGTCGTGCTTCTGCATTGGTTTGGATGGTGCATGGCCGTGGGTGGTGAGATAAGATTGGGGTCGAGATTGGTGGCTGGTGAGGACAGAGCTTGGGTTTCGGATAATGGGACTTTCGCTCTTGGTTTTGCCGCTATGAATGGACGAGATGACCAGTTTCAGTTGGCGGTTTGGTTCTTTCAGCTCCGCGGCGATCGGACCCTAGTTTGGTCAGCTAACCAGTAAGTCCAAAGTCTGTCATCATTACGCCTTTCGCATTAGTGGATGTCACTTGGTGTAATGAAATGTTTTCATAATATATTGCTTCTGTTCATGAATTCACGGGAATGCCAATGCTTAAAGAGTTGCCACTTTCGGCATACATATCGTCCTTTAACCAGTCGTCCACTAGTTCTACAATATGTTGATACACCTTACCTAGCAATAGGAAAAGTAGGGAATCGGTGGATTATAGAATTAATTATTAAGACTTACTCAGAGTCCTTCAACCTTTTAAACTTACACATCAACATAATGACGGAGTTACAGTGGTTCACAGAATTCTCTTGATCAATGAAAGCTGCTTGTCTAATTTATGCCAGATTTATTCTTTGTTTAGTTCTAGAATCAAGAGTTAGTGTGTCAAATATACTTTTTGTGCACTCGCTGCCTTTCACTTGTCTTGGAAAGTTATCAGTTTCTGGTCTCTGACTTTGAAAATGGAAGAAAGCGCAAAATTCTTTCTCCAACTCTAGTCTTTACAAGAGCTTCTGCAGGTGTATATAATGAACTAAAGCGAACCAATTTCATTCTCTCTCTGTTACATCATCTCCGTATAGAAACTCCCCGGTCAGCGACAACGCGATCCTCGAGTTCGACACCACAGGGAACCTTGTCCTCCTCGATGGCGACACTGTCGTATGGATTTCCAACACCTCCAACTCCGGTGTGCAATCAGCGACTATGTCTGAAACCGGCAACTTCATCCTCAACAGTGCCACCGACCACATAGTATGGCAGAGCTTTTCACATCCAACCGACACGCTCCTCCCTAACCAACCATTAACTGTCTCTCTCAAGCTCACCTCAGCAACTTCGCCTTCACACGGTGGTTACTACACTCTAAAAATGCTTCAACAGCCGACATCGCTAAGCCTTGGACTCACATACAACTTGCCTGGAAGCTATGATTCCTCCCCTGAATTTTACTCCAACTACTCTTATTGGGCTGGACCGGACATCTCCAATGTGACTGGCCAAGTGATAGCGGTACTAGATGAGGCGGGAAGTTTCGGGATTGTGTACGGTGATTCATCCAATGGAGCAGTGTATGTGTATAAAAACAATGGCGACGATGAAGGGTTGTCTTCAGCTGTGAACCGATCGACTCGGCCTTCGGTTCTTCGGAGATTGATTCTCGAGACAAATGGAAATTTAAGGTTATACCGATGGGATAACGATGTGAACGGTTCTAGCCAATGGGTACCCGACTGGGCCGCTGTTTCAAATCCTTGTGATATAGCTGGAATTTGTGGAAATGGGATATGCAATTTAAATGGGAGCAAAACGAATGCTACTTGCACATGCCTGCCAGGAACTTCTAAGGTTGGCACTGATGAACTGTGCTCGGAAAATTCTTCCCTGACCGGGAAATGCGGTTCAGAAAATAGAAATCAGACATCTGAGTTTAGAATCTCAGTGGTTCAACAGACAAATTACTATTTCTCCGACTATGCTGTCATAGCAAACTACAGTGATATAGCTATGGTTTCAAAGTGCGGTGATGCTTGTTTATCAGATTGCGAATGTGTTGCTTCTGTTTATGGACTAGATGAGGAAAAGCCTTACTGTTGGCTACTTAGGAGCTTGGATTTTGGTGGGTTTGAGGACCCCAGTTCGACCTTATTCGTGAAAGTCAAATCTAACGGCTCGGCAACTCCTGAAGGTAATGCAAGAGGATCAGGGGGTTCATCCGGAAATGGCCACCAGAAAGTAGTGATTCTTCCGGTTGTACTTGTCATGGTGGTTCTCATAGGTCTACTCTGTACATTGTTGTATTACAATGTCCGCAGGAGGAGGTTGCTTAGGAAAGCAATGGAAAGCTCTTTATTAACCTTGTCTGGTGCACCAATGAACTTCACTTACCGCGACTTGCAAATTCGCACCAGCAACTTCTCGCAGCTGATTGGAACAGGTAACTACTGAGTGTAAAAACTTCTTTTATCCTAGGCAAACAGAGCCAAGGAAGCGTAGAGGAAACCAGCTTTAGTCTCTTTGAGATCGGAGATTACTGATGTAGTATATACCATGGTATTTGCAGGTGGATTTGGAAGTGTGTACAAGGGAAGCCTTGCAGATGGAACTCTAGTCGCAGTAAAGAAGCTTGACAGGGTTTTGCCTCATGGCGAAAAGGAGTTCATAACCGAAGTGAACACCATTGGTTCAATGCATCACATGAACTTGGTCCGTTTATGCGGCTATTGCTCTGAGTCGTCGCAGAGGTATAAAAAACCATCCCCATTCAGTATTTTGAGTGCATGAAAAGCTTGACCTGCATAACTTTGCATACAGGGTAGTGAAAAAAACTTGCGTGCACATATGACTTTGTATGTTTAATTCTCCATATGGAAGAATCCTGACTAATGAACCCTACTTTCCATTTTCATTCTTCTGGATTCTTTGATTGGTAATGGACAGGCTTCTTGTTTACGAGTTCATGAAAAACGGGTCCTTGGACAAGTGGATTTTCCCTTCGTTCAGCTCCCGAGACAGATTGCTAGATTGGCAAACCCGCTTCCGAATAGCCATTGGGATGGCACAAGGGATCTCATACTTTCACGAGCAGTGTAGGAACAGGATCATACACTGCGACATTAAGCCGGAAAATATTCTACTGGATGAGAATTTCTGTCCCAAAGTTTCAGATTTCGGGCTAGCTAAGTTGATGGGGAGAGAGCATTCACAAGTCATGACCATGGTTAGAGGAACTAGAGGCTACTTAGCTCCGGAATGGGTTAGTAACCGGCCTATTACAGTAAAGGCCGACGTCTATAGTTATGGGATGCTTCTTTTGGAGATCATAGGAGGACGGAGAAACCTGGACATGTCTTTTGACGCTCAAGACTTCTTCTACCCTGGCTGGGCTTTTAAGGTACCCTCTCGAACGAGAGAATTTATACTGTCTAATAGTGTTCGCATTTCCTATTATAGCAGTTCAGCACATTCTTTCTTTTCATATGCTTTTGTCATTATAAATCCTGTCAACCTCCTCTTAGGAATTGGCGAAAGGAACACCAATTAAAGTGGCAGATAGACGACTAGAAGGGGCCGTGCAAGAGGAAGAGCTAATGAGAGCATTGAGAGTCGCATTCTGGTGTATTCAAGATGAAGTGGTCGTGAGACCGACGATGGGGGAAGTGGTGCGGATGCTAGAAGGCTCGATGGAGATCAACGAACCTCCAATGCCGCAGACTGTTCTTGAATTAGTTGAAGAAGGGCTAGATCAAGTCTACAAGGCAATGAAAAGAGAATATAATCAGTCCAGCTCTTTTACTATCACCAGCCATCTGTCGTCTAATGCTACTTGTAGTTACTCGACGATGTCACCTAGATAATATAGACAGGATTAGAGGAAAGAACGACTGATCAAATGAAATAGATTCTTCGCACTTTTTTTTGCAAGTATGACTGAATGTCAAAGCGCAGGTCAATCCGATTCTAGTCCTCCAAAAGATCGTTGATAAGCCGTAGCTAACCTCAAATGATCAAATGTGTCCCTTTTGCCTATCCACAGACCTCAATCAATCGAAATGCTTTAGATAAAAGAATTAAAAGGATATACCAATTACCAAATATCCGTTAAGAAAACGTAGGTACAATGATGTGTGGGTTTCAAAACCTCATATAGATATGACTCTATGGGATCATCATTCAAGTTTTAAACGTGGCCTTAGATAGAGGCACTATAATCGGAGAGATTGTCGTAATACCTTGACCACAACATGATGCACATTTCATATTTGGAAAAGCGGGCGCCCTACCATAAGAAAGCTGCACACAGAACGATTACATTTGTCAATCCTGGACTTGGTCATAGTCAAGCCTTGCTGATTCCCACCCCTGACCATATTCATTTCACTCTACGTTCTCTACATTTATATATGATTAATAGTTCAGATTTCATCATGGTTGCGGTTCAATTTACCAGGTGATCAACCGACTGGTAAAAGAGAAGGATGGATAAACAGAAAACGTGAAGTAGCATTGTAAGTGTACAGAAATCCCAACTATTATGTACATTGCAAGGCAACCGTAACCATTGGAAGAATTATTCAAAGCCTTTACAGAAAAATGCGATGTTCCAGGGAACAAAACCTTGATTTCCATTATGCTAATCCTCGTCATCATCAAACACGACCCTCAATCTTCTCCCACCAATAGCCTTTTTGGCTATAGCAGTAGAGGGGACGTCATCACCTGAATCTGCCAACTCAGTATCCATTTTCTCTGGCGGTGCATCATTTGCTTGTTTGATGGGTGAACCAAGATCGTCATTGACGCTGCCAGTTATTTCAACTTCAGAAGTGCCCCTGGAGTTTGAAATGTTCAAGAAAACGCTATTCTGACCCCCCTTGGCTTTAACATTAATGGGCCAGTTTTGTTCATCCCTGGTGCAAAAGTTTAATCTGCTTGAGAAAATAATCCAAGACAATTTGACCCGAGCAGGTCAATGCAATCCACATTCATGCAAAATATGATGCAAATTACACTATTATCATGATATTATTGGCAATTTCATCTCACAAAAGCCAGCCATAAAAAATTTCATTTTCTCTGTTCCAAGACACTTCAGTGGGTCAATATTCAGCTCCATGTAAACTGACAGAAATCGATAGTTTGAGATCATACATAGCAAGTACACAATATATGTACATGAATAATTACATACACATACATAAATTTTATTGCTGATAAGTTAAGGCTCTTAGCTGATGGCTGCAGTCAATTATAAACAGAAGAAGAAAGCCAGAACAGTACTTTAGAAAGCAAAAAGTGTCTTCTTTGTTAACATACCCTTCTGCAGAATTTTCAACCATTGCCCCATCACTCTCTCTGTCCAAGAATGTCCCCTCTGTCAACGTTATTCTGATGCTCTCATTTTCAAAGCTCCTGATCTTTGACAATGCGGTGAGTTTTCTACTTCTATGAGCAAAGAGCATGTCAGAAGTATGTCTGTCTGTGGGCATGTGCGTGCACATATCTAGAATGACATATGCAGAAGAACAAAAACCTACAGTCTCCATATATCTGCTGTGGAAATGACGAGTCTTTAAAACTTAAATACTGTTTGAAATGTCAAATTTTATTTCTAAAGGTTCAGAACACAAGTAATGAGAAAGATATTGTGCAGCCATCTGATTAGAAGGAAGTGCACTTCAAGATTCACGTCTACGGAAACACATTACTTGTATGTAACTTTCTCTTTCTCATGAGACCTGCGCTAGGGGTATTCTGCTTCTAAACTGAGTGAAAATGGTCATTTAAAGTCCACCCCAAATGGTTTCCAAAATGCTTTAATCTTTAGGTTGTAAAGGTTGAAAGACAAGATCATACTACTAAAGTTTTGGCACTACTGAGGAGAATCTTAAAATAACGCTTAAAACTGAGACTAAAGCAACCACAACCTACAGCTTTCGTTAGAAAACTTACTTCATGACAGAGCTCAATGTTTCGTCATCAGAATCATCTTCCGACAACCTTCCTTCAATTTCTGCACTCTGCAATTTACTGCTGAAGAGTTTTTTATTCTCCTTGTTTCTTCCCCTGATGGCACGTACAAATTTCGGATAATATTAATTATCTGTTGCTGTGGAAGATCTCTCAAGCTGACAAAAACCTTATATCACAGCCGTGCGAAAATATAAGGCAGGGAAGATCAAGATTCCAGAATAAGATGTGGCAGGTTCCTCTTAGAAAACAAAGCTATAAACATGACGCCCATTCCAGCCATGGAATGATGTTAGATTAGACAGAAGTAGAGGAAATGCAAAATGGGTGGCAGTTTATATCAAGGAAACATGTGTAACAATCCAACCTATATAATCAATCCAGAAAGACTACCAACCACAGATTTCAAGTTGACTAATGGTGCAACAGATTAAATGCATTGGTTTTCAAGACCAAAATGCAGATGAACGAAAAACATTGGACTTCTCTTCAGATCATATTGGAAGCATATCAGCAAGTCCAAAATCAGAGTCAAGCATCCTCTGCCTTATCAGATTTGTGACTGACTATGGTTTGAGGGGCTGAAATAGACTCGAGACCGGACCACTTTCCCCGGGACTGGTATGAGCTGCCCGGTTAAATCCAGTATTTTGAACAATGCAGTAGACAAATAGCATAGCTATTGTAACAAACTTGTTTTGTTCTTTAAGAATGGCAAGCAGTCAAGCACCATGTACGTAACACCTGGGGATGCATGAAGGGAGTAATAGAGTCAAATTACCTCAGCCTCAATGATAGCAATGTCTCATTGTCCGAATCCTGCGTTTCATCAGCAGAATGATCACTAAGATTCTCATCTCTCAAATGCAAGGTGGCTTCAACCTTTTTCTGTCGGGGAACACGTAAACCGAGTTGTTTGAGTTTACGAGCAATTTGTGCAGGTGTGAATATTCTATCACCATCCAATGCGTTCGCAATCATATAGCTGCACCTTTTATGATCCTTGAACCTGTTTACCACATACCTTTTAGCATCAGTGATGCAAAGGAAAAGGACAATGTCCTAAAAAAGTGGAGAGATGATGATTGGACAAAACTCACTTCTCGAACAAAGCTCTAATAGCTGCCTCCTGATCTTCACTTAATGCACGTACTCTTTTTCTTGCGTGCCTGAAGCAAAACAGAGCATCAGCATTTCACATACCACTCAAAGCTCTCTATGAGCACATCCTATGTTATTACCATGGTTGCAAAGATAAAATCCTATTAAAGAAGAAAAAAAAGGACCTATTTCACCCTTAATTAAACAAGGGCAACTTCATTTTTATTAGAAAAATAAAAATAAAAGCAAAGGCATACTCCTGCTACTATGCCTCTTATCCTATTAATGGCATCTCTCCTCTTCTATGATGATGGTGTATGCTTCTTTCTTGAGATTTTCACAATCTTCTAAATGAAGAAACCGGGGATTTGCGCAACCTCATATTCTGAAGGAAAGATTGATTTATGGGAACCAAGAAACATAGACAATATATTTCTTATTTTCTAAAGGGAGTTGTTGTGGACCGACCACATAAACAGGGTACCAAATTCTGACTGGACAAAAGAAGCAACTAGAGCTTACTTCTTTGCTGGACTGACATAGCGTTCAAGGCCCAGCATTTCAATGTCTTTATAACTCGAGTGGCTCACGAAACAGGAAAAGAAAAATCTCTCTGTAATTGACCATACATAAGGCAATCAACTTTTCTTTATAACACAAGCATTCAGATAGGTGCTTACAAAGGTAGCCTCGTTGAATGATCTATCAAATCCTGTGACTTGAGAGACAAACTCCCTCTTTCCTGTGCATCTTCCCCATCCTCGGGCTGACTGGGCCTTGAAGTAGATTCCTTATTGTGAGGCATTCTGTTCTTTCGGGCAGTTCTCAATCCTAGTTGCTTAAGCTTGTTACCAACTTGAGCAGGTGAAACTTTACAATCAGGATCTAGAGCCTCCGCAATCAGATGATTGCATTTTTGTTCATCTTTGAACCTATAACAAAATTAAGCAACACAAAACACTGAGCAGTATGAATGATCACTTCATCCTTTGGTAAGGCATGAATACTGTTCTCAAGCCATATGACCAATAAAACAACATGGATCCACTATCACAGCACTTTTGAAAGAGGTTATCTTTCTTTTCTTTTCAGAAAATAAAATGATCTGACATTACTATGACACTCACAAATTATTAGTAAGGAGCATCATTGTACTGCTACTTACCTTTCATAGAGATCTCTAATTTTGGAGTCTAGCTCATGACTAAGAACGAGTCTTCTCTTTCTTTTAGAAACCTTGCCACGGTCATGGTCCAAGGAATTTCCACTGCAATAGCCATTCCCACACTTAAAGCAGGAAATTCAAGGGGTAATTGGGTATTATATCTTCAAGTTAGAAAATGTAGTACCATTCAAGTTTCTCTTTCCCATCAACGTCAATGGGTGAACTGGTGATTTCTGGTGATTCATCAGAGTCTGCATTGTCTCTGGAAACATGGAGGACATGATTTATATAATATTGACATTGTAGCAAAAGCTTGTGATCGCAAAAATCATCAAAATAAGGAGATTACAACAATAAATATAATAATGAAAAGTAAAAAGTGGCTATCTGGATAATTCATGTTTCAGGTAATATTCTCGCAGAATGTATAGTGCAAGTGAGAGATTTAAGGGTTTCTTACTTCTGGTACCCTAAGTCGTGACTTATCACCACATCAGCTTCATCTTCACCCAAGGCATCTGCTATGCTCCGACGAACCCATCCTGTAGTTTGCATGGAACCAATTTCTCCATAACCATTCTGTTTCTTCAACTTGCGGACCTCATGCAATAAATATTCAGCATTAATATGATGACACTCTTTGCGGGTCTTCCAGAAAAGCACTTCCACAAAAAGAAGGGGTTGCTGTTTCATCTTCCGTAGCATTTTTCTGACTAAGTTGGTCAAAAAGTTCACTATTTCTGTGTATTCCTTGTTTGGAGAAGACCTCTGCTCGACCAATATTTCGTGAAATATAGTCAAGAGTGATAACTGCAAATGTTATAGGACTCTTCAGATATTGAGAAACTTGATGAGTATCCAAAATTCATTAAAAAAAAAAAGTGTCCTTGACCTGATATAGCATTGGAGAAAGCTCGAGATCATCGGCAATCCTACTCAGAATTGATAGTATATAGTGATTTGTGTTGATAGAGTTGCTCTTGTAGAACTTTAATAACCAACACAGATTATGAATGATGTCATTGTTTGCAAAAGCTGATACTACGGTAGACACTTTAAAATCAACTTCATCATATTGAACAATCTGTTCATCACCAGAAGAATCACCAGTACTGTAACAAAGATCGTGAGGAGGATCAGATTTTCTTGAACATAGCAGATTGTTGTCAGTCTTCTGTTGCTCCATGGTAGATTCACCATGTTTCTCTAAAATATCAGCATCGAGAAAAATACCAGTTTCCCCACCATTAGAATCTGCATCTAATTGGCCATCTTGGTGACACTTGTCTCCAGAAGCTAGTTTTTCACCACTAGATATAGCAATTTCATTCTGAACCATAAGACAATCTGCCGAAGGGTCCATCTCTGCTTCTACTTTGTCAGTAACTCTTTTCCCCGTTCTCCTCTTTCTGGATTTTCTGGTAACCTATAAAATGAGTTGGTTGATAATTATATAATACCTAGATAGAGGGCATTTATAAACCAGAAAGATAATCAGTAAACTAAAAGCATAATGCATTTAAGATACAATCTATTGAAATAGAATAGTGAACTGAAAGCATTTAATATGGCATTACAAGCACTATATAAACAATCCCCGCATGCTTGACAAGATTATCAAGACTGCATGAATTCACTCAATAAAAGTTCATGGATGACAACCCTCATAATTTGGCACTGCATATTGGCATCTGATAATACAAGCTCAAGAAACAATCAAACCCTGTTATGTCAGTATCACTGGTCACTTGTGCAAGGGAACTTAAGCATAATGCATGACTGCAAAATATTCTGCATTGGTGTCCCGGTATGTTAATTTTGTGCGTGGGGTGATGCCTTCCTCGATAGAATCACATCCTAAGTATACAGCATGAACAGAAACAGACATCGACAGAAGTTGACAAAAATAATGGATGGAAATAACGACAGACATTGATTCTTCTCTAGAAAAACAGAAAAATTAAATTGGATCCAGCATTGCGCAGGTGGTGACTCTTGCACTCACGGTATGTCAACTCTGAGACTGCCAAAAGAATGAGTCATTGCAGGTGCTTGTGAATGAAGAGACCAAAAATTGATGTCGTAGGTGCGATGAATGATATGCGGCATTTGTAGCATTCATCTACCAGGCATTTCTTATTCCACTATTAAATGAGTTTCTACATGATAACGGAGCCTGCACCTAATTATGTATTCAAAAAGAGATAGGACTCATCAACTTGTCTCCTCCTACAAGAAAGTATAGCACAATGAATCAATAGGTCCAACCGAAATTTATTTGCCACGCAAGTTAAAATTCCAACGAGAAATTAGCCGCTCGTAGTTCACTGCTTAAGTACAAAGATTTTAATGGGAGTTTTCTTGTAAAAGACCAGTGCTTGAGAGAGGTGAGCAGCATGCAAAATTCTATGGCCCTTATCCAATGAATCACTGCACCAAAATTGCCAGAAAAGTGCACATTTACCATCTTGTACAATTGTCACATACCCTTAGTGTTCCGCGATCTTGAAGTCTCTCCATCAACTGCGTGATTGTGTGAATCACTTCTACCAAATCTGCAAGATCACTGATAGAGGAAAAAAGAAAATCAGGGAAGGAAACTTTGATAACTTTTTACACCTGGCAAACCACAATGACAGAAAACCGTGGAAAATTTATGAGAACATTTTACAAGTTTTTGCCAAAAAAAGAACATGTAACCCTGCTAAACTCACTAATACTTAGTACACCATCCTTAAAAATCTCAAGAATATGTCACTAATACTACCGTCCCACTAAAGATCAAAAGTCAGGCAGTCAGTAATCCACCAGCCCTTCTCTGTTAGTATAGGGTTTAAGATATATAAGGAAAGCAGACAAAAGTTAGAGAAAACATTTCAGTTAAAGGTGCTTATCCTCACACTTCATGTAATGTAGATCCACTTTGCATATAAATGGGGCAAAAGTAGTGTTGTCTCAGGGAGATGATTCCTCAGTGTGTAACTTGTCAGTAAGAACTTAGACTCGTCTTCTTTACCATATGACTTGTATGGGCAACATATGTCATCTAATGCTCAAATTATTAGCTGCTGCTTAATGATAGAACTATGTCCCAACCTAAGATAAAATGTTTAGAAAGCCAGTACTAGTAGTAATTTCACTTTGTAATGCAACAATAGCACATATGAAGTAGAAGACCTTCTAGGTTGCTTGTGAACATCGAACGATTTGACAAGATTGAGAAGGAAATGAGTCATTCCTTGATCAGTCTGATCATAAAATAACTTGTAAAGAAGAACCCGAGCAGTCTGAGGCTCCCTCGAATTTTCTGGCAATAATTTAAGCACCAAATCTAGTGTCCAAATCTGCAAAAGAAGACATTTTTAGGTGAATATAAAAACTAATTCCTTCCATAACAGCGCTTCCATTACTATTAGTTCTTTATTAGCGGGAAAACATCAAGTCATGTCAACATCCCCTCCAACATCAGAATGTAGTTTAAAACAGTTGCCAGAGAGCGCAAATACCAAACTTACAGGGGCTCCTTCACCATCTTTTGCACAAAAAACAAATCAAAACCACAACAACGTACAGTCTCGCAGTAAGTCCATCACAGCAGATTAGTTGTATTGTTTCATCCCATGATCCCAGTAGAAAAAGAAAGGCCAACTAAACTATAATGAGATGAGATATTTAGCGTTCCTTCGCAATGAACCCACATGAGGATGAACCACCTCACTCTTACATGCTGCGCTAACTGATTAATGTTGTACCAATTGTGATCCACTACTTATTTTGTATATCAAAATCCCACCATTACATTAATATATTAAGACCACTATCAGATTAGATATTTAGTATTTACTCGGCTGTACTATGTTTCTATCATATTACACAGTTTATTAATTCCTTCAAACTATATACTTGAGCAATTGAGGAGGAAAACTGGTGGAATGATCACTTAAGGATCTTTCCTTTCACTTCTTATGCTGTACTAAGTCCCTGTCACCTTTGAAAATTTCATCTCCACTGCACATCTCTCATACGTATCATCGGCCCCAACAAGTTAACAGTATAAAATTTGCAGGATCTTGAATATGACAATCTTGTTCCCCTCCTAACAAATGTGATCCATGACCTGAGTGAAAATTCAACATATTCACCCAAGCCTCCATCAACACATAAGCAACATAGAAGATGCATGTAGTCAAACTTGTCCTCCAAAAATCATTTCAAAGGGTAACCAAAAAGAAAAAATTACCATAGCTTTCAGAAGAGATCCTGCTGCTGATAAAAACTTGTAGTCTTTTGATTCCTTTAATCCATCAAAGGCATCACGCCACTTTGAAATAACCATCAGAAACATCGATTCATTCATTGATGCAGCAATTGGCCCACATATATCACCACTAAATAGGCTGCTGTCTTCATTGATACAACTAGATAGGGAACTGCCCATCTCTGCATCAGGCTGTAATATAACAAAATATTCATATGATATCTCACATGTATGTCACTGGAGACTGATTACAAAATCTGACCTTATGTATACTGCCCTCTATTTCAGAACTAGAAAGAAGAAATACTAACCATATCTCCTCTCACTTGGAACAATGAAAAAAGCTAAGGAGTGTAGGCAAGCAAATAACAGTATAATGATGCCTATCAAATCTTTACTGTAGAAGTAGGTTTTGTCAACTGCTCACAAGCATTACTTTCCATGGTTGTAGAAGGGTTGACCAAAAAAAAAAAAGGTTGTAGAAAGGTGACCATAAACTTTGCAACAATATCCTCCCACAATAATGTATGCAGATAGAATGACCTTTTAGCTCAAATCTATTTGATAAGAAACCTGAACTCAAGCAAAAAAATCCAAAAAAGAAGCAATGTATAAAGTACAGGTCCAAACAAAGCCCTCGTACATTTGCTCACTTAGAACTTATTCCTCTTTCTGGGAGGTCTCTCACATAATCTCCTTCATTTTGGCATTTCCTCATCTCAAAATTCCCCTTTACTAGAAGTAGTCTACAGCACACATATGGAATTGCCGTCAATCCAGAGAAAACAAACAGAAAAATCCATAACTGATCAGCCCTATACCTCACCTAGTAAACCCGAATAAGAAAGGCATTTATACTCCCAAAAGTACATAATTCAACACATGACCTACCCTAATTTTAAGAGGAAATAGTGCAATATGATCCTCCACATCGCACAGGATGTAGGTAAATATGTGTTTCCAAATTTAAATCTTACCTTGGATGCCAAAAATTTGTGATATTGAAAAGAAGTGACAAATTTTGCAGCCTCAAAGAAGTACACTACATCATTTCTCTGAATATTAAGTTGTTCCCTCTCAATATCCTCACGAACTGACTGCATCAAAACTGATACATGGACTAGATAAGTTTCAGCAATGCATCAAAGAGTGCTAATACAAAATAATGAAAATTGCCCCTTTAGTTTGAAACATACCATTGTAAGCCCCAGATAGAAACTGATTCAAGAAACCATGAAGCAACTTTAAAATGTTATCAGTTGTTGTCGGTATTCTCCCCTGGTCCCATACGATCTTTTTCATTGGACCCCGACAGAACTTATCAGATTTAGAGTATACATCAAGTGAAGCAGAATTAGGCCCTTTAAGAACTGCTTTGGAACCATCCTGCAGGAAGAAAGTAGAGTTTACTAAGCTCAATATTGATATGCGAGTAAAAGAAAAAGTAATTCATACCATGGTAAATCGCTCAAATGTCCCAGAAAAATGTGAATAGCGGCCGCCATATTGTATCCTGGAAAGCCTCCTTTTGTCCTTCTCCTCTTCAATAATCGATTTGAGGCCACTCAAGGAAGTTTTGGCTTCCGCATCCTTCGTGACATTATTGTGAATGAGTTCGGGACATGCATGTCAATCAATTATTTGTAAAGGACACAGAATAGAAGTCTACTCTAAATTTCAGCAAGAGACTCGTTTCAGGTTCTTTATCATGGAACACACAGTCAAATTGAGACACCAAGTATGATCTATGTGGCTTCCATTCTTGTTTCAGTAATATCACACTAATCATATTAAGACAAAATGCTTATTTCTCAGAAAATACAGACTAAAGTTTTAGTACTCTCCTCCACAGTCTATACAGTCCGATGTATCATAATCTGAAAAAATGAGAATAATAGAGGCATACCCACCTTGAGACTATTCAGATGTGCTTTTGCGACCAACTCAGGATCTTGGCCTTTAAATATATAGTAAAAGATTTCCAGCAAAAGCCAATTATCTTGATGAAGGTAGTTGGAAGAACCACCAACATGCTGAGCTACGAGTAAAAATAGATCCATCACATTTTCACGGAACAGAAGCTCCAAAAATCTGTCTCGAAGTGACAATATTTGAGTGGCAAATCCAGCAGCCTTCTGAAGTGCTGAAATGTCCTGGATGGCCAGTAGGTTTCGAAATAAAGTAAGAACGAGCTGCACTAACTTCCAGTCATCCTCTGTGAATACTTCACTGGAATGGATCCATGTAATTTGAACAAAATAAGAGCAAGTTGTTAGTAACAAATGACAGAAACCAAAGCAATCCAAATCGCACGCGCGCGCGCGCACACATTCACAAAATAAAAAGAGGGAAGTCAGTTAAAGTCCTGTACTACCAGTTCCAATATACGAAACACCAGAAGATATGGACTCTGAACCGTGTGCATGACAGTCAATACCGAGTCTATGATATCTCTATCTAAGTTCTTAGACAATGTATGCATAAAACGGATGGAATTGGATGAGTCGTGTCACCTTTCCAAGTTTTCCAGCGGGCTCTCAAGCAGCGAAATAATAACTGCAACTGTATCGCTCATAGAAATTGCAGATTTAAGATCCCATAAATACTCGATCTGTAGCGCAATATCAGAGGACGTGGGCTCAATGGGCATTGTGAGAAACACCAAGACCTTCACTATAGAAAACAAAAAAATTAATAATAAATCATCTCTTCTACTCAGACACGCATTCAATGAACTTGCAATGCAGCATCTGAGATGTCAATTTACCAGTGTTCAAAACCAAGCTGCGATCGTCTTGGCAATGCTCTAAAATGGGTATCAAGTCTTTGGACACGCAGTTCCATTTGCAGACTTGCTTGAAAACCTCTCTCGTCTGTGGGTCATCGCGCCTGAGAAATCTCAGCAGATCCTTTAAATTATCTGGTAACGAGTTGACAAACAGCGGTTTATCTCGGCAGGTGGATAACTACTACATCACTAGCTTACTATGATGGCATGATAAAGTAAAAACAACAAAACATAACGTTTGGACTTCCCTCTAATAAAGGGTGGTCTATTGTTTCTTTTCAACAACGGGGAAACATTCGTGACTGATGAGGGAAAGTGAAATTTGCCGGCATGCTGCGCCGACCCCGAAAAAGAATCAGTGAAATTTTCTAATTGCAGTGTTCTAGCATTTGGCGTCTAGGACGATGCACAGTGTTGGACAAAATTGTGCCTTTCGTGATGTGGAAACGAAAAATGAACGGAAAATACTTCGTTTCGTGTCCTCCATCAACAGAATGATCCAATAACAGAAAAAGGGGGGTCGACGGGGCATCCCCCTCCCCCCAAACCCGATCTGGTGCAATTCTTTAGTGATTATCTGACATAACCTATGATGGTTCAAGTAGAATTTCTCTATTCCGCCTCCGCAGTACCAATATTCCACATCCGTCGCTTGATCCGATGAGCCACGCGTGGGAATTAGACGCAACGGACGGGAGCTAAGCTAAAACATCAACTCAACAGAGCGTCTCAAACAGCAGCACGGCAACAACACTTTCAACCGAGACGAAATCCCTTAGTTCTCCCTTCGGCGCTTCGCATCGCGAAACAACCAAGCAAAAGAGGTCGGGAAAATCGCTGAGGAAATTTTTCGTACCTAGGCAGTGCGAGCCCTTTGAATAACCGACGCGATTGCCGTCGTCGTCCTCTTCGACGACGCCGAGGCCGGCGCAGATCGCGGACAAGCCTTGCGTGTCCATTACACCGCAAAAGCTCCGACGGACGGAGTTCCTGACGCGAGATCAGATGGTGGGAAACCTTGGGTGGAGAACTGGATCGAGGATGAGGGAATCGAGGGGAAGTGAAGTGACAGAGAAATGAGAAGAGTGACGAAAATAGAAATTCGAGGGTACGGGGGCTACTGGGCGCCAAATTATCAGATTTTCCCGCGCTGGACATTGTGAAGGAGGGATGATCGAGTGTTCTTCTGCTATAGTACGGATATTATAACCGCTTACGTGGCGCGTCTCTACATTGCAATTCTTTTATCTAGACTCGTTTGACAAGACTGAAAAATTTGGGAAAAATATTAAATAAAGACTTGAAGTGTCCCGGTCTTTTTAAATAAAAGCGTGAAATAAACTTTGTTTCAAATAAGACTATGAAGTGATCTTATTTTTTCAAATAAAGATTTGAAATAGATCTTGTTCAAAATAAGGGTATAAAGTGACTATGTCATATTTAAAGAAGGGTCTAACTTTCCTAATGGTTAAGGGTATTTACGCTCTTTACCTTTTTTCTTCTTTCTTTCTTTTTTCCTTTCTTTTTCTTTCTTTTTTTTTTCTTTTTCGGGTTTGTTCTTTGCCGGTGGCTAGAAAGGGCTTGGCAAGCCTCACCCAATCTAGTGATGCCATGAATTTTAGTCAAACGTACAATTTCGTCATTGAACTTGTAATTCGTTCAATGTGCTTATTGAATTTTTGGCATATGTTTAATCTAGTCTCTAGACTATATGAAAATGTTCATGTTGTCCTCGTATTTGAATTAATGTGAGGATAACATTGGATATTTTCATATAGTCCATGGATAGTCCATGCACTGGATTTAGCATTTACCGAAAATTCATGGACTAGATTGAACAAATTAAAAATTTGTGGATGACATTACACGTTAGCCTAAAAGCTCAGGGACCGTATTAGAAATTAAAAGTTCAATGATGACGTTGCACATTAGGTTAAAATTCGTGGACCATTCATGTAATTATTCCGATTAAGTATTTCATTATTTACTTATCCCATCTTGTAATTTATTTATTTAACTAAATCTTTTAAGTCTCTGTTAGTTATGGTTATCAAACATTTTAATCTCATCGAGTGCTGAACTGTTTAGTTTTAGCACTTAATCGGGTCACCAAACATGCTCTTAGATCATGAGTTTAAACCCAACTCTTCAAACTTACGTAATTATTCTAATCAATCTCTCCATTTTAAATTCGATTAATTGGAATAGACATATCCATTAGTAGCTAATAAGAGTATGATGCGAAACCTTTATTTTATTGTTTTGAAATAATCAACCAATGCACATAACTATAAATCTCAAAGATGAAGTTTGCAATTAAACCTTGAGCGATAAGATACACAAATTGTGTAACTAAGCTTTCCACGTCGAATCAGCTATCGCTTTAATAAGTATGTCACCGCCAATTAGCTAGATTTGAAGCTGGACAGAGTTGATTAGAAAGTTACGCAACTTCGAGGACTTGATTAGACAGATTACAAGTTGAATAGTTGATTCGAAAAATATACTAGTAAGTAAAGTTTTACCAAAATTGATCCCTAAACCATATACATATTCGATAAAGAAAGAGTTGTGCGCGATTTAGATGCATCCATGGTATCGAGTGAAAATCTGAACACATTCAGTAGCTCTTAAACTTTCAGGCCAAAATCTGACCCAAAAAAAAAAAAATGTCAGGCCAAAAGGAAATAAAGAAAAGAAGAGCTCTTAATATTTATTTTTAACATATTACTCATTTTCAGATCTAACAAGTAGCGACTGACATAATGTAACTCTAATTAAGGCAAAACACGTTAAACCTTTTTTAATAAATAAATGCTCTTATGGAGATTCAAATATAATTTTAGGGGATTTAGATAATATTTTGAATTTAATAGAAAGATCCATAAACAGCTTTTATAATTTCAAATAATTAAATTCTCTCTCTCCCACAAGAACGATCACTGTTCATGAATTGTTTTTAAAATGATTTTTAATATAAGAGAATTTCATAATTTCGATGCACCGTTCTTTTTATTGTCTACATGGAATTAATATTTTGAAAAAAATAAAATTATTTTAAACTAAGCGGGGCTTAATCAGTAGTACCAACTGCCAAGCCACTGACCAACATGGGTTTTTTTTTTTTTTTTTTAAAGATTAGGAACAAATCATCTCACAAGAAAACACGGCCCATTAATTACCAAAAAGCCAACCGTTCTCGTGGAAGTTTTTGCGCACAGCAGCGAGCGACCATTTCTTCTTTCGATACAAACTAAGCAAAACTCTCCTCCTGCTTCTTCTCCCCCAAAAGCGCCAAACTCGGCGGCGGCATTTCCAAGTTCAGCACTAACCGACCTCACTCCGCTCTTCTTCTTCGTCGACACGCTCCCAGCACATTGCATCGACCTGCCAATTGTCTTCTTCCCACCCTAGACCTGCGAACTGTTCTTCGTCAGCAGCAAAGATGGCGAATTTGGTGGCCACCAGATCGATCCAGGGCTCGCTGCTCCGTCCCGGCGGCGGACCTACGGAGGACCGGGCGGAGAAGCTGAAGCTGTCCGGCTTCGGCTCCAACGCGCTGGCCCGCGGCGGCAAGAGGAGCCCGCGGGCGGTTCCGAGGAGCGGGAGGATCGCCGCGAGGAGGACCGCGAATGCCGAGCCCAAGGTCGTGCCCGTGTCGCCCGAGGATGCTCCCCAGGTACGGCGCTTTCTGCTTTCTGGCTCGTGAACTGTTTGGATCGTCGTATCGGCGGGATGGATTATGGACGGAAGAAGTGCGGTTGGTTTTGGTTCGAGTCTGGAAGTAGTTTAGCTTGCGTTATGGAAATGATGCTGGATTCAAATTTTAGCTCGAAAGGAAGGAGACGACTGGCATTTGATCAGTGTGCTCACTGGAATGGCAAGTTCATCAACTGGATGGGGTGATTCCTGTCTGGAGACTCTGGAGTGTGATAACCAATCGCAATGTGCAGCTCGTAATCAGACCAGGACCCCATTTTAAGGACCTAGACACAATGGAGATTTGCTTCTGTAATCCGTTTTGTGCACCAGCACATGGCGTTAGGTCAGGCTAAGAATAACGACGGAGATTCGATGGATGATTTATGGTAGTGGTTTGCAAAGTCATGCGGCCGTTTATCATCGTGTGTCGAACTTAATTCGCTTGCTTAAATGCCTACTTACTGTTTGCACCTCTATATGAACAATTTTGCCGAATCAGTTTGGTATTCTTAGCATCAATCTCATGCTAACTACGCCGGGAAATGCAATATATTGGCTTGAAAGACCAATCATTTTAGGGCACTAGTCACTATATGAAAAATCAGTTTTCCTACGTCGTATATCATATGAAATACGCTTTATGAGAGAAGTAAGTGTTATGCATCCACCCGTTTGTTTTTTTGAAGAGATGAGAATTGTTTTTCCTTTCAAAATTTCAGGGAGTTCAGCATCTCAGTGACATGTCGGTGGGCATGTGGTCCACGCCTATGGTTAGGCGGAAGACTAAGATTGTTTGCACAATAGGTCCTTCCACCAACACAAAAGAAATGATATGGAAGCTAGCTGAAGCTGGTATGAATGTTGCTAGGCTGAACATGTCTCATGGAGACCATGCTTCTCATCAGAAAGTCATTGATCTGGTCAAGGAATACAATGCTCAGTCCAAAGATAATGTCATCGCCATAATGCTTGATACTAAGGCAGGTTCCTCTCATTATCCCCTCATAAGGCTCAGAAGCAGGTTCTCTACGGTGATTCTATGTTCCATAGCTTTATCTTGCTGTGACACAGTGTTTTTGTTGCTTTACTTCAGGGCCCCGAGGTTAGGAGTGGGGACCTTCCACAACCAATTATGTTAACTACTGGACAGGAATTCACCTTCACAATCCGTAGAGGGGTTGGAACGGCGGACTGTGTCAGCGTTAATTATGATGATTTTGTTAATGATGTAGAAGTGGGTGACATGCTTCTTGTTGATGGTATGATCAAAGTTTTCTTTAGAACCCATTATAGATCTAATTGCATTTGTATGCTCCTTGATGATACAAATTCCACCGATTGGTTTTTTTCTTCAGCACTGTTATGCCGTGGTTCATGCTTTGTCAACATTCATTAATTAAGAAGACACTGAGTTCACATTTCTTTCATGCATGCCGTTCTTACGGCTAAAAAGAGAAAAATATCACGCATGCACTATAAATAGTTATGCACTTCTCTTACATTGTATCAATGTTAGGTGGTATGATGTCATTAACGGTGAAGTCGAAGACGGAAGATTCAGTAAAATGTGCAGTTGTTGATGGAGGAGAGCTGAAGTCCAGGAGACATCTAAATGTCCGGGGAAAAAGCGCTACATTGCCTTCCATCACTGGTTGGATGTCAGATGATAATATACATTTCTAATCGTGTTCCATGTGACTACTTGCTATAGAAGTACATTGCTGATTAGACGCATTATGTGACTGCATTTGTTGTTCACGTACAGAGAAGGACTGGGATGATATCAAGTTTGGCGTGGAGAATAAAGTTGACTTTTATGCTGTTTCCTTTGTTAAAGACGCACAAGTTGTTCATGAGTTGAAAAACTACCTGAAAAGTTAGTACTTGCTTAAATACTTTTCTTGTTTCCAATGAGTACTAATAACGTCTAGTTCTGCTCCATATTACTTCTTACCTATTACCTTTAAACTTTGCAGGCTGTGATGCTGATATTCATGTTATCGTGAAAATTGAAAGTGCTGACTCCATACCGAATTTGCATTCAATTATTACAGCATCTGATGGGGTGATGATCTGAACTTTTTGACATCACATAAGTCTATCTCTGGTCTAGCTTCTCCTTTCGAATTATGATGAATGGGTTCCCTTATGCAATTCTGTGACATATTACTTGATTTTTAACTGCAACTATCCAGTACCAGGGAATGCAAAGTTAAACAAGAAAACTTGTGTTCTATCATCTGGATGAGTAATATGCATGGTGTCACCGGTGTTAAACAATATATCTGCCTCGAGACACCCATTCCCATAGTCATTTTTCCTAAC